GGCTAAAAGAGTTGTTCTTCAGGTAGTTTAGGATATTTTCAAGTGTCCTGATTTGTTGTTGTTGTTTTTTTGTGTGTTCAAAAAATATCTTACTGATTTGGTGTGGAAAGTATAGAGAAGCAATAAGGCCTGTAGTTTGAAATCCATTTTATGTTACTGTTGTTCTTGTTTTAATATCAGACAGCCCATCAACAGGTTTGATTTATTTGCAGGTGGGGCCTCTCTGGACCTTAATTCTGTGGAGCCCAAACCCCGAAAGTGGATCCTTGACATGACTTGGCTGAACCTGGTACAGCTGTCCAACCTGTATCCCTTCACTCAACTTCTGGGCCAAGTGGCCAGGAATGACAAGGCCTGGAAATCCTGGTTTGATGAGGAGGCCCCAGAAGAGGCCCCAGTGCCTGATGGCTATGACAGCTTGCTGGACACATTTCGGAAACTGCTGCTAATAAGGAGCTGGTGCCCTGACCGCACAATAGCACAGGTAAGGCTTGTGCCCATGCCGCTCCACCCCGCTGGTTTGCACCGCTTTGAACAGCAGAGTCCAGGACCCCGCTATATAGGGAGAAAAAAGGAGCGTGCAGCTAAAACAAAAAGAACTCAAGCTATCCCAGTGGGATACATGGCGGGACAGTGGAGGAAATATTCAATCAAAAATTGAATGCAATTCAATCTCCCGGTGGAGATACACGATGAGACAGGAGAAAAGAAAAATAAAATAAAATGAAACAAAAATGAGGGCCTTACGCTCGCATCACAGTCCCCTCCGGGACTGTCACTGGAATGTTCTCCCCTTGCGGGGTGGTCAGTGTGTCTTAAAGGGCCCCCACAGCTGCGGCTCATCCTTAATTATCCAGGCAACGTGTCTCCCTTAATCCAGGGCTCTCCCTCCAAGCTGAACACATCCCCGCATTATGCCACAATGTATATACAGAATATGAACATTTCAGGAAGCTGATTTGCAATATTGCTTAAGTTATTTTAAAATCTTTAACTCTAGATGGATTGAAAGAATGTGCCTGGTTTGAATATCGTTAAGCCTAACATTCACACTGTGTTCCCAGACTTCCAGTGCCATCTTTAAAAGTGTTTCTAGATGCTTTGTGAATGCAAAATTTTAATTAATTTTAAATTCTATATCCTGTCCTTGAATATATCGTCAGGTGTAGCTTTGTGGAGGAGGATTCCAGATATACAGTATAGCAATTTCCTACAAAACAAAATGGATATCTGAGTTAGAATTATACTGTAGGTAAAGGTATTTTTACATCTTATTTTAAATTACTTCATTTTTAGCTATTTCCATACATGTAAAACAGACATGAGAGTGCAGAAAGGAACAAGTCACGTTCTTTCAATCCAAAAGCACTAAACCTGCTATTCTGATTTTTTTCTTTATGCAGTATACAACAGTCATGAATAACAAACAGGTCACACAGCCTATTGTATTTATTTTAATATCTACAGTACTACATTCCAGAGCACTCTCATTTCTTCTAATTATTTCAGGCAACTCAAGTAGTTTAGTGTATGCAGCCTACAATGTGGTTTCTTTTTGATTACTTGAACAATTTAGGAGTTGTCAGGCACAGGTGTACAGTAGCTACAACTTTAGGTGCAGACAGCAGTCTAACTGCTATAAACGGTAACTAAACTAACTGCTATAACTAACTGCTATAGAAATGTACAGAACTGCTATAGTTAACGTTTCAGATTTAAAGAGAGCTATTAAAAGAATTTATAGATTTAGCATGGAAGTCTGGCAGCCTATAAAGTAGAGATTATGCATTTTAAGCGCTCTTTGCTGTGGATTCCTATCTGCACAGAGTAGATACAGAAACTTTTAATCAGTGAAAAAATTTAATGCTCAGAACGAAAGCAGGGGTGCTTCAATATTTACAAAGGAATTATGTTGTAAATGGTACATTGTATTGTGAGTCTCATTTCTGCAGATCTGAATACTCTGTTGTATGCCATGGTGAAAACAGTACAGTGCATCTGCAGTAGAGTACAATGTGTCAATGCACAGTGAAATCCTGTTTTATCTAAATAGGTAAAGACAATATACAAACAGTGGGACACCATGGGAAAAAATAAATAAATGTATTGCACAAGCATGGTAAAAACTAATGAACATGATAAACATCCATACTGTATGTACCATAGTAAGGTTTCGTAACAGATTCTGTGTAGAAAACAATACATGCGGTACGTTACAGCGTTGAATCAATAGTTTCTGTGTACTTCAATGCACATTAGAGATAATGCCATGGGACCATGGCACAGTAAATACAGAGGTAGAAGAATACTCTGCAGCTTAGAGAGCAGCAGACAGGACACAGATGCAAAGGAAACTTAGCAATTGCTGACAAGCCAGTGTAGAAAAATATATGCTTTAATTGAAACATTTCTACAAGGTAGAATTTCAAGTAGCCCAGGCACTGTGAAATGTCTTTTTAAATTACACTGAAGCAGCTGCTAACTAATTAAGAGAAAGCACTCTACCAAGATTGTACAACCCAAGTGTGGGTTTTAAAAGCAAAACAATTGAAATAAACAGTAGGTTAATACAGATTAATAAAACAGAAGTGAGGTGTGTGGCTTTGATGCTCTGTATATTTTAATATGATTTGTTAAACCTGTAAATTGATTGTCCTAGTGTCAATTTTATTTTAATTATAAAACAAAGAGGGGGGTGGGGGGGGCATACTTATTCATGATCTTGAAGATTATCTGTTTGGCTGCTATAAAAGGAATTAAACAAATTAAAGATGATACTACTGTATATGTGTCATATAGCAGTATTAATTCATTGTCTGATCCCACACACTACAATCTGTTGTCATTTAGACAAGCCAATACATCATATAGTATGTTTTTGCACACCTGTCTAGCTACCTAAAGTGTTTCTGACATTATGGTCAGGGTCCCCTTAGGCAGGGAAGGTGTAGAATGACTGCTAGGCATACAGTATATGGCCAAGTGGTTTGTGTGTGTTCTTTAACCACTATTTATAGAGTAGAAGCTGGCAAAATTCAAAGATTCTTAATTCAATAAAAATAAATTTCATCTAAGCCTTCAAAAATGTCTTGAGCCTCATTATGTCATAATGCCAAGATGTACAGTACTAATACTCCACACAAGCCTTGCTCTGTCTTGCTTTATTGTTCTAGAACCAGTAGGGTCTGTTTTTTTTTGTGAATGCCACTGTTTACATGTGTTTGTATTAAAGATGTGACAGGCTTGCATATCTTCCATCCCAACTATATACTGAGAAATTTTCATGTCAAAGTTTGATTAACCTTCATTCTTTCTTTCGTATAGCTACTAAGATGTTCTAGTGAATGACAAGTGTAAGATGAGTTACAGATAGAAGATATAAGTATTGGAGCACTTCTATAGCCATTCGTTGACCTTATGTTTTTAGGATTTGTGTTTAATACAGTACCAAAATGAAACATTTAAGTTTTGATACCCACTAATTGATTTCCCAGTTTGATTAGAGATTCCAATTTGACCAAAGACTGGGAACCTCTTAATCTTAATTTAAAGTGATAACTTAATTGCCCGTTACTTTTATACTGTATATGGATTAATCTTAAACGTAATGTTGTGTTGAGATGCTTCTTTTATCCTCTTGTGAAAGATAAGTCTGTTTTGCTCTAAGGAAGGGATGTGTTGTCAAATGCTCATATTTTCTGAAAAATATGTATGTACTTAATGCATTTTAGTTCTGTCATTAGTTTTAAAGGTGCTGAATCTGTTTGCCAAAAACTGTGTGTATACCATAATGTTTGTCATATCAGTTTAAATGAGGGAAGAGTATATTTCAGCCAAGAGATACAAGTGAGAAACTGTACAGGAATATTGGAATGTCAGGCCATCCTCTAATCAAGTATAAATGGAGAGAGACCATTTTCAAGCTGTATTAATCAGAAAATGCCAGTAGCCCAGTATATGGTCTACTCTATGTACTATACAATATGTGGACTGACTGCTTTTAGAAACAGGCGTGACAAGGATGTTGATTCCAATAGTTCTAAAACCTTACTGACAGCTTTACTATAGATATCTCAGTGCTCCTGAAGATTGTCAAACGGAATTGAATGAGGTGTCAAGAGATATTGGAAATGGTTCCTTCAGCCACTGAGAGTTACTTTCCTTCTTTCCTGGTGAGGGCTGAATGTCCATATTTTATATAATGTTATTTTTAAGTATTATTTTTTTAGAATCACTTATTATTGGTATCAATTCTCAAAGCTTTATGCTGTGATGCTAGCCACAGTGTTTCCTGAATGTATTTTACATCAAAGTATTTAGAAGTTTATAACTGAAGTAGTGTGGAGAAAACAGCACTAATTTGGGCCAATTACTCTGAATATCAAGTTTAAATTTATATCACTTTTGAAATGCTAGCTCACAAGGTTTCTCACAAGGTTTCTTGTATGAATTCAAAATGCTTTGAAAATAATATCTTGCTTGTGGACAATTTCATAGTCAATATATCCTTCTCAAAATTCAAAACCTTTTTTCATAATAAATAAAAATGAAGTTAAACAAAATAATAAATTAAAAGAAAAAAACATACGTGATGCTTTCAGGTTTCTGCGACTGAATTCACCTTGTTATTTCCTGATGTAGGATTTTCAATGTATTTTTTATTGGCCAATTGATTGTCCATCGCACCCTGTTCGAAGTAATGAATTAATCACTTTCGTCAATGTGATACAATTTAAGCAAGCTCTTTAAATTAAAGGTCAGCTGTACAGGCAAGAAAATCAATTGTGTGCTTGTATTCACAGATTTCTTCTAGTTTGATTTTATTTAATCCTTTATTTAGCCACATAAGTCAATTGTGAACAAATTCCCATTTACAATGATGACCTGGAGAGTACCCATTTATACAGAAGGACATTTACTGGATCAATCTCAGTAAAGTAGAAGGATTTGGACCAATGACCTTCAGGTCTGGAGTTCAGAGCCCTAACTACTAGTCCATGCTGGATCCATTTGTTGTGCTTTTCCAAGGTCTTTAACAAAATTAAACTGACAACACAAATTAGATTGATTTATTCATAGCCAGGATGTGAACATTGGCAAAGCAGAATGTCTATGGGCTATTACTTATAACTGTATCTTTCCAAACCAAGAGAACCCTGCCAAATGGACAGTTTGGATATGTTTGTGAGTATGTATAGGCAACTGCTTCCAAATGCAATAATGATTTATGCAGCCCTAGAGGATGTTTAGTGAAGGCTGCACCTTGCTAAATAAAGATGAGTTATGATTCCATCCCAGATAAATTTCAAAAATTATTTTGCTACAATAAGCTTTGAAGCAATAAGTAATTGCTCAACTGAATTATGGTCACTGGATAGCTTCAGACCTATTGACACTATACATATTGAAATAATTTAAAATAATTCATTTAATAAATAAATTAGTCACTTAATGTATTTTCTTGCAGTCAATATGTGCTTGCATTCTCCTCATACTCTAAACCATGGCTGTTTCTGAATAAAAATCTGTCAAGTTGCAAAATAAGAAGACTATACAGTGTTCACTGAAAGTATCAGGACAGGACTGGGAACCTCTTAATCTTAATTTAAAGTGATAACTTAATTGCCCGTTTACTTTTATACTGTATATGGATTAATCTTAAACGTAATGCTGTGTTGAGATGCTTCTTTTATCCTCTTGTGAAAGATAAGTTTGTTTTGCTCTAAGAAAGGGATGTGATGTCAAATGCTCATATTTGTTGTTGTTGTTTGCTTTACAGTCAAATTGTTTGTATTGGTAATCATGACATTATTGCTTTGTCCATCATAGCCACACAGTTTTCCCAATTTACTAAAACAGTGATGAAAACAAAGAATTAAAAGTCACAGTTTAATTTCAAGAAGTCTGATACAGTACTTCTACATTTATAATATTCTATTCTATTCTGAATGAACAATAAGACCCTCTCAAATTCCACTGGCGTTCCATGACTTGTACTTCAACATTCTCTTCCTCTACTAATTGATTCCTTTCATAAATAAGTCAATGCATCTGCATCAGTTAGTGTAATATTGTATATTTTGTTATTGGGAAGAATTGTAGGAAGAAAGGACACACCTCAGCCTGTGATGACTGTATGCTGAACTGTAGATTAAGCTGGGCTGTTGAGAATGTCTATGTGGTCTGCAGGCCCGTCACTATATCGCAGAGTCCATGGGGAGCAGGTATGCAGAAGGACTGATCCTGGACATGGAAGGAATGTGGGCAGAAAGTGACAATCGAACTCCAATGGTCTGCTTCTTGTCAATGGGCTCTGACCCCACTGAAAACATTGAGAGGCTTTCCAAAACTAAGGTAAGAGGCCAGTTTTAATTTAAAATTTAAATACATACAGTATGCTGCTTAAAATTGTGATTTGATAAGCAGTGTAAACCTCTAACTGCACTTAATGGTTCCACTTCCTGACAGAAAGGTTTCTATGTTAGTGACATTCATAAATTCATCCACCTGCTCCTGACTCAGTATTAATAAGTTCATTTTCTCTTTTCCTAATTTCTTGTATGGCAAGAAGCCTAACATACCAGTTTGTCGCCTCTTAATTGTGCTAAATGCTTGGGACTAATCAAAGCCCCGTGATGAATGCATTAAATTAGAGATGTGATCAAAGGAGGCTGAGTATGTGTTCTCTAGTAGAGGAAAGGCTGATGGTAGACTGAGATCAATCTACCAGAAACAGGGACCATGGCTCTGTAGGAGATATAAAATAAAAATCAAACACGCATCATGAGATGGTAGAAACATGATCCAAGCTGCAAGGCTGGTGTAAGATATTGTTCATTAGAAAATGTCAGCCATGGCAGAAAGAAAGGAAAAGGTGGGCCTTAGAATTTAGTAATAAACAGTTGCACACACTGTACGAGCACTGTGTTTTCCACAGCAGATGTGGGAGACCTAATGTTGTGGTCCACTCTTCTTCCCCTACAATATATACAGTATGTTTAGACAAGTGTAGAAGGAGGGAGAGACACACAGAAGAGTTGCAAGCTCACAGGGGTGTTATTGACCTTAATTAATATGCTTGTCACTGAGAGTGGTAGAGAGAAAAAAGGTACAGTACAGCTTTTTCCCCCCCATGAATAAAGGGGTAAAGGAGAATCACAGTCCTGGTAGTCCATCTCAGAGGAATGGAGTGGTACAATACAGTACATTCATATAGATGAGATTCAGCTAGGGAGTAGAAATTAAAAAATAGCTGTTGAGTCTTCTTCAATAACCAAAACTTTGTGTTGTACTTGTTCATCTAAGAATACAGATTATCCAGTGAGTAAGGAAAACATATTAGTTTTTTTTTATGCTCTGCTTCTACCACTGACGTATTGTTTGTTACCCTGAGCAAGTTACTTCACCTCCTTGTGCACTGACCTTCAGCCACAGTCGATGCATGTTTCACCTTCTAGTCTAACTTGCTTTGGATAAAAATGTCTATTAGATGACTTATTGTATCTGTCACATAGAGGTGACCAGGAGAAAAGTTTTGTCTTTAACTGCCCCTCTGTTACAACTCGTCTATTAGATTTCCCTGAGGGTGTATGAAAGAAACTCGTCTGGTTGTGGACATAGTGTCTAAATATATCAAGACCCTAGTACTGGCAGCAGGGGCTGATACTCAATCGGTGCCTTTGAGAGTCAAATCTGTGCTTTGATACAAAAGTAATAAGAAAGTAACTTGGCACAAGTAATGACTTTTAAAGATAAAGGCAATATCGCACAAGATGGTGTGTCTGCAAAACTACAGGGTCGAAAATGAGTAAATCTTTTCCAACTGTCTAACTGACAGTGATCTCAATCTTTCCAATGAACATACCACTATTATTTGTGTAATTATTTTTTGAATACCACTTTATTTTCCAAAAGTATCTCTTTGTTCTTCACAGTTATGCTCCAGCAGGCAGATTACAGAGCAGGTCATTTTGAGACATAAGAAAATACTTCACTAATTGAGTTACATGACAGTTTTAAGGATCTCAATGAAGGAACCTTTAAATGTATCCATAAAAAAGGGTCACCCATACAGTATAAACCGTATGGTGGCATTATGTGCAGTGCCTTGCAAAAGTATTCAGACCTATCCTATGTTGTCCCATGTTGTGAGATTACAAAATGATGCATACACATTTTTTTAAACATATCATTCACCTAATTAAAAAAAACTGTCTGACATTCACACAGTGTAGAAACATTCCCCCAACAATCAGAGTGTAAAACTGCTTTCCCACGATGAACTGCCTGGCAGGCCAGGGTCAGTAGCAGTTCAGACAATCCATTTGACCTGCATGAGGGGCCGACCAGTGACTAGATTAGCTGTTGATCTGACAGAGCCTAAGGCAGTCACACAGGACTGCTCAATTGAAATATGGGGAGAGTTAAATTTCTGCCTACCAATAAAAAAAAGCTTAAAATGTTTTTGTCAGAAAAGAAAGTCATCTTTATCACTGGGAAATTGCTTTTGATTTTTTTTCAACCCATTAACTATAGTGATTCGGTCTTGTGTATTCCATGCAAGAGGAGAACTCTCAATGAGCACGTACAGTATGATGCAAAGGGAATTCTAAAAACAAAACAAACATTAATGTTGTATTTTAGTGAATCATTATTTTTCTTTAACATGGAACGATCTGGGTCCAGTAGCTTGGAGTTACTTACTTATTAGGCTGTGTGGATCTGGTAAACTTTCATTAATAATGTATAATAATGCATAATGCTATAGAAGGGTATACATGTAGTCTTTACTCCTGACCTGTTAAAATGATAGTGAAACTATAATGTTGTCCATATTGAGTTGTAGTACTTTTGGCCATATACAGTTAACCATCTATCCCTTATTCCATAGCGACTTATCCTGGCATGCATTGTTATGCACACTCACATGAGTTCCTCCCTTTAGAATGCACCATGTCGTGCCATCTCCATGGGTCAAGGCCAGGAGGTGCATGCTCGAAGGCTGCTCAACCAGAGCATGGCTGATGGGGGCTGGCTACTCCTGCAGAACTGCCATCTGGGCCTGGACTTCCTGGAAGAGCTGCTGGATACTATTACCATCGCTGAGGGCATGCACGAAGGCTTCAGAGTGTGGATCACTACTGAGGTGCACCCAAAATTCCCAATCAACCTCCTGCAGTCATCCATCAAATTCACCAATGAACCCCCACAAGGTAAGGCTAAATAGAAGTTGTTAGCAGTTTGCAGAGATGTTAGCAGAAGTAATTGTCAACAGTTTTAACAGTAACAGAAGAGAGCCTTCTGCTGTACATTCTTCTGCAGGTTCACATTCAAACTGACATATAATTTACTGTGGAAAATATGGACAGTTTCATTTAGTTTTGAGTGTGATTATTTAATATACTATAGGGGTGTGCATTAGTGTCGAACTATTATCTAGCATAAAGACTGTATAGAGCAATAGCAGTCGTAGAGAGAAGAACAGACATAATTAAAATAAATGTTCACAAACCTGCTTTTCAAAATATTAAAATTATTATTTGCTTTGCAGATGTCCTTGAATTGGATTCTGTTCATAACTAATTATGATTTATCTTAACTCTGAAAAGAAGTATTCAATAAAATGTTTCCCACTTATGCTTATGACTCTAAATATTATAAACATGAACAGCATGTGATCACATTTCAATATGTTTTGTCAGTCAGATGCAGTGGGATGCAAATATGGTACTGGAGAGTTCAATTCTTGCCTAGCTCTGAATTATTTAATTGATCCAATTAACTGAATTTGCCATGACTAACATAATTTTTATAGACACTATGAAAATGGAAGTAATTGGACTCTCCAGGACCAAGGATACACATTGTCGTACTACTGGAATAAAATGTAATATAGCACTTTATAGCTTTAAATGGATACTGTGTGTATACAGGAGTGAAAGCTGGTCTGAAAAGAACCTACAGCAGTGTGACCCAGGAGCAGCTGGAGATCAGCAATTTGCCTCAGTGGAAACCTCTGCTGTATGCTGTTGGCTTCCTTCATACCACAGTGCAGGTGAGAATCAGATTGTAGATCAAACCAAACCTTATACTTGGGGCATTCCAACCCTGGTTCTTGACACTGCAGTTTCCCCTACTTATTATTTCATCTGAGATACTGTTTGCTCAAGTAAACAATTATTTGGACAGATACAGTAGCTTAATCCTTTTAATTAAATTACCTCTGACCCTTATGTAGACATACTGTAGTTTGCATGTTTGCTATTGCTGAGTTCAGACTTCAGGGATAGATACTGTATGAGGAGACCTACCCTACCTACTGCTCCTATTTTCCTCCACCGTTTGGCCTAGGCTGTCTTTGATATGCATTTCAATGAATTTGAAGTGAGAGATTCCAGTACTTCACTATGAAAATAGCTTCAAAGCTATCCATTGTCTGTCCACTTTCAATCACCAGGCTTCAGTATAAATAGGATGTGAAAAGCAACCTTTTATAACTGTTAAATATTTATGAATCATATTAAAATAAAAAGCATGGTCAGAATTAAATAAATTAATTTAATACAGCAGAAATGAAAGTATCCAATAGTCTAGACTCTGATACCAGCCCTTATGATGGGAAGATCAATTTGAAAGGCAACCTCAGTTCCAAAATCAAACCATTCCTGGAGTGACCTCTGAATCAGAAGTCCAGGTGTACATGTTACTAAACACAGCTGGTACTGAAAACTGACGTTTTAAGAATACTGTGAGATATACTGTAGGACTCTGATTGTTTCAGCGTTCTGATCATATACCAAACCTGTGTCATGTTTGCCCTTTTCCTTTCCTAAGTCAGCAAATCACTTTATCTTGTAATAACAGATTTATTTTTCACTTACTGTCACTATTTAGTAACAAATAGATGCTTTAGCTGCACTCACCAGCCTTTTATGAGTGGGGATTAATAACAGTATCTTTATTCAGGGAAGGATCACTGCCAGCCAACAAACTGTAAATAAAATATCTGTTACTTTGCAGGAGAGGCGCAAGTTTGGTCCCTTGGGCTGGAATATTCCCTATGAGTTCAATCAAGCTGACTTCACAGCCAGTGTGCAATTTGTCCAGAACCATCTGGATGATATGGACATCAAGCGGGGCGTTAACTGGAATTGCCTGCGCTACATGCTGGGAGAAGTGCAGTATGGGGGGCGAGTCACTGATGACATGGACAAGCATCTGCTCAACACCTTTGCACGGGTTTGGTTCGGGGAAAACATGTTTACCGACAAGTTTTGCTTCTACAAGGGTTATGTCATCCCCAAGGGTAAGACCGTGCAGGATTACCTTGTGCACATCGAGATGCTCCCTCTCGTTGACACTCCAGAGGTAAGCTGCTGATGGTCCTTTTTATCTGTACATCTCGCTTTGTGCAAGGGGGGTCTAAAATCGAATTCAATAATTTTATCATTAGGAACAAGTCAAGGTTTATTCCATGCTGAAAAGAGAAGAAAAGAAACACGGTGTTTCAAGAAGGGATGACACCCGAAGAAGGCTCCACAGCCAAAACATAGTGTTTCTTTTCTTCTCTTTTCAGCATGGAAAAAACCTTTACTCGTTCCTTTGCAGCCTACACATGCTGATGCAGCTACCTACTTGAATTATATAGTTAGTGTCTTAGGAAGGCAAAATGGAGTTTGTTCTTTCACCTCACGCACCATTATGTATGGGATGCTTAGATAGAAGAGGGTATGAACGTGTTTGCACAGCTGCAGTTTTATCTAGCTCAGAGCCAGCCTGATCTGAGGAGACCAGGTATCTGAATCAACGATCAGGCTGGTAAGTTCCAGAGGGCCAGCAGCTCACCTGACAATGGGGTATACAGCAAGAAATTGAAAAATAATATAGAGAAAAGACCATGAGAGAAACATAAAGCCTACTGTACAACCCAATAAAAGCCCCATTAAATTGAATGGTTTTCTATTTGATTTAACTGAACTGAAATCTACTACTAAAGACTGATGGGCATTAAATGAAATTTAGGGAAGGGAGCTATTTTTTTCATATTGGTAACGTCTAAAGTTCTTTTTTTAAACTTCTAAGAAATTTCTTGTACTCGAGCAGATGTCAGGACTGATAGAATTAGAAAGGTTACAAAGAACAAGAGATTATTTGGCTACTTTTAGCATGTTTGTTATCTCACCCAGACATTTCTTAATGGACATCAGGTACCAGCTTCAATAACATGACCTAGTATCTTGTTCCAGACTCCCACAAACCCTTGAAATATTTTTTACTTTCTGCTTGTAGTTTTTTAATACATTCCACAAAGTTTCTACTCATGTCTTCAGGTTCATGTTTAAGAGCTCATTATGAAGAAATCCATTTAGCTTTCAGTGCCTTTGAGGATTCCCCTGTTCAGAACTACATAGAACTTTGTACATGAACCCCCCGCCCTTCAACAAAGTCTTTATCCATACTTTTACAACAAACAAAAATAAAATACAAGCTAAACCTCTTCACATTACCTGTCTATGATTATAACAGGGAAACTAAGCTCCTTACCAGCTTCTGTTAAACCCAAGTTCTTTGCCAGGAAAGCTTTTCCAAAAAGCCACAATGTAATGTCCACACTCTTCAATCGATCACTTTTTCTCTTTTCCCATATTCCTCTGGTGCAATTGCATAACAGAGATTTTGCTGACAGAGAACGACAGACCGTCAAAAGCCTCAGCTTCCTGGTTTTAAAAGTCACTCGACCAATTGTATTCCATCAATATGTCAGGTGACTGAGGACAGCGGGTCTTTTCTCATTGCCTTCTAGGTATATAGTTCTGACAAGAGTCTCCATCTTGTCTGAACCTACCATTTTTGCATACCAACCACATATTTTATTGATAACACCCCTTACCTTTCTTTTCTTTTATTGATAGCACTCCTTCCTTTTCAATTTATTTACAATAAAAGTGCAAAATATACTTTAAAGCATCATTTTGTTGAATTGCAAATAATGTATTTACAGTATATATTTATCACTTCTGCATTGTAGATCAGGGATTTACACTTCAGCTAGAAATATTTTTGTTCTAGTTTATGATGCTTAATTAGCCAAATCATACTGTATACTCCATTAGTGTGTGTACTGTAAGCTGCTTGTGAAAAGATGTGAAGTATAATCTCTGACTCAACAAGATGTTCACTTTTTAAAGTCTTATAATTACTGTAAGCAAATGCAGATCAGTTTTGAGGTCTGGGGATTTTGTTTTATGTGTGTTGATGTTGTTTGCATAGATAAGAGAGTCCTGCTAAATGCCCAATATGTTGGACAGGTTTTTGGTCTCCACTCCAATGCGGACATAACATATCAGACCAACATGGCAAACGAGACACTGAACACCATAGTGAACATCCAGCCCAAGGACAGTGGGGGTGGAGGCGGGGAGACTCGGGAGGCCACAGTACAGCGACTCGCTGACGAGATGCTGGAAAAACTTCCTCCTGACTACATCTCGCACGAGGTTAGGCTTCAGAATGATAAAATCTCAAGAGGACTCCTAACAGTGGATTGCACTGCCTGATAATCTGCCAATAGCTGTTTCAGAAAAGAAAGTTGTTTCACAGTTTTTACACTCTTTGTGGTAAGGGATGAAAAAGAAATAGTATGTAATATATTTGGTTTGGTGGAAAAAACATGATTAATCACTTCCTTAAATTTCAAAGAACATTGATGCAGAACATGAGTGTAAAATGGTAGAGATTCCATTAAATGTTACTTAAAAGCATCAGCATTTATTTAGTCAAATTTGACTCTTTTTTCCTAAAGAAGCTCAAACCATACACAGAGGGTTTTCTCTGCTTACCACATGAAGAGTCTTTGTTCTCCTTGGTCTGAAGAAAATCAAATAAAACAGCTGTAGCCTTCTGTACGTTTATCTTTTTATTTTCTTTTTCTAAAATCTAAATTTGAGAAAGAAAAATGGCAGTAGCACAGCAATCATATTTTGCCAAGTCATAAAAAAACAAATCTTCCTTGTGATATTTTTCAATTTAACTTCATTGTTCACTAAGTGCATCATTCACCAATGGTTCTTACATTTTGTCTGTCACTTACTGTATCTGCAATATGATATCCATTGTTACATGATATTGCTTTCTTTGTAGTTTGTAAATAATACATATGAAAATAAAGTCAAAGTTAGCAGTCACAGACGGCTGTTTCACACTTACAGTATTAGTGCTCATCAGAGTGACATAGCTGACTTTGACCAGCAACACAAACTTATTTATGTATCTTGGAATAAACAACTGTCCATGGCTACTAAGCCTGAATTAATATGCACAAAATATGGAATAATTCATTACATCTGTTTCTTCTATATCTTCTGTGCTAACAGAATTAAATTTATTTTACATTTCTAGAGATTATTGCACACTGGCGTATACTGTAGTAAAGTACACAATTATAAGAAGGGCTTAATTTTGGAAGTGAGATTAGTAGCAAATACATTTTTCTTAAAAGTTTCGTAATTGTTTTGTGAAGCTCACTTTCTCATATAAATTTGATTTGATTTTTTTTAATTGAGTTCCAGCTTTCATAATGGATGATAGATTGAAAGCAGTGGTGCAAAACACAGTCCCAGCAGCTGCTGTGTCCTCAGGGTTTTAAACCATTACCATTTTAAACCATTTAAATTCTTAACTAAATTAATTGATAATGATCAGTTTAGTTGGACTGGTCTAACACATTTCAAAGGTGATGGCATTTTAAAGAGACCTATAATGTTTTATGGATTGAGGCACTGAAGGGCTGGAGACATGTAGAACTCATTAAATATAGGGAAGGAGAGAGGGTTTTCTGCTGTAGTGTTACCAGGCTGTGGAACTGTTTTTTTTTTTCTTTAGAGACACTCTATCTTCGATTATTGAAGGCTGAAGACACACTTTAATAACGCAACAATTTAAAGACAAATTTTAACAATTTATTTTGTTTCTTGTTTTATTTGTCTGAACGATTGGAATTTGTACAATTTCTGATCTGTTTGCAAAAGGCACTTCAAGGGCGCTTCCGTGGTAGATGTTATGGAAATCATAGTATCCACATCAGCATTGCATGCTCTTTATTTCTTCTTGTGTCAAGAAGAATTTAGAAGAAAAGACCTTTTGTTCTGCTCCCCGTGTTTTGTACTGTAGGTGAAAGCACGCCTCCAGAAGATGGGCCTCTTTCAGCCGATGAACATCTTCTTGAGGCAAGAGATTGATCGCATGCAGCGCATCATCGGTAGAGTTCGCACCACTCTCACGGACCTCAAGCTGGCAATAGATGGTGAGGTTCGGAATCACTAAGGGGCTTGCAGATGCGATCCAGGCAAAGAAAGAGCCTTAAGCTGTGGATTTCACTGATATCTTTCTGAGTTCATCAGTGTACCCTGTTTTAATTTAATTTTGCAAACCACGTTTTCTAATCATGCAATTTACCACACAATCATTTTTTTTTCTAAAATGACATTATCTAGTCATGCAGATTTCACATCCTCTTCCCTTTATATTTTATATACAGGTAAATGCTTGCCGCTTTTAGGCTACGATATTTTCTTCACCCAAGATAACAATGGCAATGAAATGTACTGTACTCTGTATTCTGTGTTAGGAAGTACTGTTTGATCATTAAATTAAGTCGTCATCATCATCATCATCATTATTGTTGCTTTTGTTGTTGTTGTTTCCACTGGCAGGATCTGCTGTGTTTGATCATTCTTCCTAATGCTGCTCACTGAAAGGGTAGAAATCACTAGTTCTAAGAAACATGTCAATTTTTAACTTTTGTACCAGTGGTTTTAACACCATAGCTATCTTCTTAAATCTGCTTAAATATCAAAGATGGATTACTTTTAATAACTATTGTATTGCTGGTGTACCAAATCAATAATGCTTCATATTTTTTAATATCTGTTGACTTCACCCTTTTTGTTGTTTTCTGTTTTGGGATAGACTTGAGTTGTGCTGTTGCACGGAAAAAGTCCTACAGATTACTAGAATTGTTTGTTTACTAATATTAATTATTTAAAATGCCCTAATTTATAATAAGTTAGACATGCAAGACCTACATTTTTAAATTTACATTTAAAATCCTATTCAGATACAAATGTTCTGCCCATTTAATTCTAATTATTTCCATAATCTTATATACTGTATAATAAAAGTCAGACTTATTAGTCTATAATTACTTGGTTCACTTTTGGTACACTTTATAGATGGGCACTGCATTAGCAATTTTTCAATTCATGGGTGTACGTGATAAAATGAGAGTTAAATTTCTTTAAATTGATCATTTTATGTGGATTCATTACTATAGATTGAACTAAACGGTGGATTTTACTACTATTATGTATGAAAGATAGTCATGAGAAATAGGCTTGGATTCCTGAAGGCTGAAATCTCACTAGGAAGAACAAAAAGAGTCAAAATCTAACAGGCTATTATACAGCATGTAGAGTATGTTCTCTCCAAAAAGCACTTCTTTAAAATTAACAGCTTATGCTCATAACCCATAATATTTTAGAACTTCTAATGTCCCATAGACTTAGAGCTTTGATCAGTTAAAGCATGTAAAAGGTTTGTCTCCAGTCAATCATAAAAGTGAAATAACTAGGATGATCAACACTGTACTGAAAAGCTCAAATATAAGGCTTCTAAACTCCTAGGTAGTTTGTTTATTATCTTACCACTATGTTGTAGCTATGTGGTGTCATAGCAATCTGTACTATTATTTGCCATCTGAAATACCATTGGCATTGCTCACTTAAGGTCTTGTTTCAATGCCTTTGCCAACTTGGCAGAACCCATCAAGAGAAAAATTGTGCCCTGAACAGTAACGCTGTCCACTCAATTCAAGTCACAGTATAAACTCAAGCAAAAAATAAAGGAAACAGCTCATCCCTATCCAATATTTTAGGAAGGTATTACTTCTTATTGGTTGGTTGTTCATTATGTTGAAAGCTAAAGGAACTGGTGTGCATTTTGAATGTATTTTTTTTTACCTTTCTTTACTTGTTGAAAGTCTCTTTCTTTTTGGTACAATTGGAAGGTATATTTCTGTATTTCACCATAATCTGTATTTGTCAATGTATATTGCCAATTTGTAAGTGGCCATCCCACAATTATGACAATTTAACTTTAACAATAGAGTTAAAAGAGACTATATGCATGTCATTAGTAATTAATCGTTTGATGTTCTAGGTACTATTATAATGTCTGAGGATTTGAGAGATGCCCTGGACAACATGTATGATGCCCGAATCCCCAAACTATGGCAAAAGATTTCCTGGGAGTCAGCTACCCTGGGCTTCTGGTTCACCGAGCTCCTGGAGAGAAACCAGCAGTTCCATACATGGCTTTTTAACGGCCGGCCTAATCAGTTCTGGATGACAGGCTTCTTCAACCCTCAGGTATGAGGAAGAACAAAATGAATGGTACATGAGTTTGTGCTCTTAACAGTTTAAAAGAATAAAGATGGGCCCAGATCTTGACGCCATGCGTTTGCGGCATTGAGGACCAGGTACAGATATGTAAATATATATGTCAACATTAGTAGCCAGCAGCCATATCACCCTGCAGCACTAAACTGGCTACCCACTGAAGCTAAGCAGGTTTGAGCCTCTTGATGGGAGACCTCCTGGGAAGCTATGGTTGCTGCTGGAAGTGGTGTTAATGGAACCAGCGGAGGTGCCCACCCTGTGGTCTGTGTGGGTCCTCATGCCCTGGTATAGTGACAGGGACACTATACTGTAGTGAGCGCTGTCTTTCGGATGAGACGTTAAACCGAAGGCCCTGACTCTCAGTGGTCATTAAAAGATCCCCGGGCATTTCTCGATAAGAGTAGGGAGTTATCCCGGTGTCCGGGCCAAATTACCCCCCTCGGCCTTTACCTTGGACTCCAAATTGTCCCCATGTATGATTGGCCTGCACTGGCCCTGTGATGGACTGGCGCCCCGTCCAGGGTGTACTCTGCCTTGCGCTCGTTGCTAGCCGGATAGGCTCCAGCTTCCCGCGACACCATATGGTATAAAGCGGTTTGGTAAAAGACATGACATGTCAACATTAATCTCTCTGTATTTATGCCTGTCTAATTTCCTATCTTTATGGCTTTGCAAATGTACAGTATGCAGTCCTACATTAATTGGCCAGATGTGTAGCCATTCATAGATTTAATGCAGCTGTACTGATAGTAAAAAGCTGTTTGTGGCAATTCTGAAAAGTTTTGTTCATTGCGCTTCTAGCTCAGGGTTATTTCCATTGTCCTTCCTGTCCACTCCATGGTACAATGGAATTACAAAAATCTTCTGTATTATTAGATAATTTACAGGATTAATATAACAATAACGGTTATGGCTGAAGTTTCATGTGAAGTAATATTATAGTATAAAATAATGAATGCAACATATTGGTTGCCCACTATTAATATTCAAAGCCACATTTATCAGAAAGTAAGCTGCTTAAGTGAAAAACGTGAAATACAACTCCATGTCCACTAAGTGTGCTGGTCATTTTCCTGTTTTCAGTTCTAATGTTTAACTCTTTGTACACACTCTTTTAAAGGGGTTCTTGACAGCAATGAGACAAGAAACAACTCGAATGAATTTATCCAAAGGCTGGGCCCTGGACAGTGTGATCTTGCACAATGATGTCACCAGGATGATGAAGGAGGATGTCACTGCGCCTCCGCCTGCCGACATCGGAGGAGTCTATATCTACGGGCTCTTCCTGGATGGAGCAGGATGGGACCGTCGCAACACGAAACTAATTGAGTCTTCCCCGAAGGTGAGTCTCTGCTACGATAAACGGATCTCAGAATGTTTCTAAAAAAGTAGAGAAAGCTTGTCTTTCAAAAAAGGGAGCTGTTCATAGCTAAATTACATTTTAGGACAGGAAAACAGTGGGAATCTCATGGCTACAGACAACCCTGTGAGGGCTTTTTCTTTTCACAGAATCAAAAACCATTTTTGAAATACAATTTCCCTACAGAATGTGCTAGATTCTCATCTTGATCATGTTATACAAATGAAAAAATTCTTATTTGTTACTCTTAAGGATTGTAAGATCCTTTCATCCTTATAAGGATATATTTAGAATGGCTTGGGAAATGCATTTGACTATGAATCCTGAGATGCAGAGCTTGAGGTAGAAAGAGAGACATGACGTTGGGGATTTCTTTGGTTATAGAACCTTTTTCAGCATGTAACATATATGCAAAGGTTTATTCCATGCTGAAAAGAGTAGAAAAGAAACACAATGTTTTGGCTGTGGAGCCTTCCTCAGGTGTGAGAATGTTCTCAAAGAAGGGTTTCTCAACATCTATTGCAGAAAGACATCTGAAACCAAAGTTACCCTGGAAATTAATAACAGTATCTTTATTCAAGGGAGGATCATTGCCAGCCAAAAAACTATAAATAAAATATCACCTGAAGAAGGCTCCACAGCCGAAACGTTGGGTTTCCTTTCTTCTCTTTTCAGCATGGAATAGACCTTTACTTGTTCCTTTACAGCCTATGCATGCTGACACAGGTACCTACTTGAAATACTTCATGTAAAATACATGCTCAATTGGATTTCAAACTGGAGTTTTAACTGGCCAGTCTAAGAGTTTTACTACTCTTAGTTCTAGTACTCTTACTAGTTTTACTGCTTTTCTATTCTGATTCCTTGGTCCTTGCCCATTCATTCTGGGTCATTATCATACTGCATGGTATAGTGGCAATATTTATGGAAGCATTATTAATGCATACAGTAAGCAGACAAAATGTTTTCTGTAAACAGATTTTTGTTCTGTGGCTGCCATCATTATTTATATCATTAATAAAGATGAGTAAGCCAGTTCCAGAGGCAGACATGCATGCTTCGTCCATGATATTTCCTCAACTATACTTTGAAGATGAGGTGCTGTTCTGTGAAGTATTTTACTTCCTTTGTCTTTCCACCCCTTAGCCTTTTCATTACTGAGCTAAAAGCTTTCAGCCTGTTCCAGAATTTTTCTGCTCCTCTAATTCTAAATTGGTTTTGTAATTCTGTTCTACTGCAAACTAAGAATTTTAATACCATTATCCCAGTACTAAATAATTTCACTGACGCTTGTTTTAGGGCTTTCTTTGACAGCTCTGGTTAACACCTGCACCTGATGATGAAAACAGTCTTGACCAACCCAGTCTTAGCTGATTAGTAATATTCCAAATTGCTGATTTTGGTATGCTTAATTTCTGTGCTGTTTAAGATTTCTTTACTGAACTTTTCTTTAACAGAAATCTTTTATTTACATTTTACCTTTGACTTCAGAATCCAATTAAAACCAATGGATAGGATGTTCACTGCTCGATTATGAGTGTCTAACAACAAGCAGTGTACTCAGTTTGATTTGTGAGACAACCACCTGACAATTTCTTGTGGTGTGCTTATCTTGTTTCCTACCATCCAGGTATTGTCCATGCACATGGCATGTTTAAACTGAGACATAGTCCTGACTTTGATCCAAGCAAAGCAGGCTGAGATAAAGATATTTCATGGCATTTTCTAGAGAGTTACATTGCAGAACATTTTATTGTCAGTAACTCAAACAACACCACGCTAAACGTTTAAAGCAGGAACAATTTGGTATAATAAATAAAAGATAAATAAAATAATAAGAGAGAAAATATTAGCATTGGAGTCAATAATGGTATATGGCTGCATACTGTGTACATGGCTTGGACCACTACTTGACATCCTGCAGGATGTACAGTAAGATCTAATTCAGCACCCTGAAGCACAGGGGGTCCTTTAAAACTCTGTGTGGCATATGGCTGCTGTGCTGAAGTACACTGTTAATCCTCAATTTTGGTTTTGTAGGTCCTTTTTACTCCTCTGCCAGTGGTCCATGTTTACGCCATCAGCACCTCATCCCCCCCAGACCCAAAGAGACAGACGGGGAGCATGTACTCATGTCCAGTGTACAAGAAGCCACGCAGGACTGATCTAACCTACATCTTCTCTCTGTACCTGAAAACAACACAGGTTCCAGACCACTGGACACTGCGGGGGGTAGCCTTGCTTTGTGACTCAAAATAAGATATCACCCCAAACCTCCACTATTGCCCAGACCTACACTGCTGACAGAAGCATATTTATAACTTCTTACTCTCTTACCCTCCCTTCTGCAGAAGCACATTTATAACTACTTACTCTCTGGTCCTAATGACCATTGACATGAATATATTTTATTCATGTACAGATACCAAAAACATTGTATTTGGTAGTGTAAATACATCTTATAGTATTGCTTTGTGGAAAAATACTGTATTACTTTCCCTTGATATTGTTATTTAATGTTTGCTTATATACGTAAGATAATATTAAATGTGAAGCTGTAAAAAGTTAGCATTACCCCAATTAATGGACATTTAGTTGCACTTATCAACTGTAATACCTATAACAGAGTGTCCAAATGGTATTCACATTTTTAAGTAAACTGAGAGGTTTGGCATGACATTTAATACTTATTATTTGTTATTGGAAATTTTCATTTTATTGTGTTTCGTTAAAAAGTTCACAGGTACAGTATGAAACATGCTTGTTATTTGTCAGCAGCAACCAATCACTTATTCAGGTTACTATGTTATAAAGTACTCTAAAGATAAGTAAAGTACTGAAGTAAAGTTATAAAGTGTGCTAAAACTTAAGTTTTAAATAGTGGTATCATGTATCATGTCTGATATCTGGTTGGGAAGGATGTAGAAATTGCCTCAGTCTGCGAGTCACACTATAATCTATCATTTTGAAATATAATGTCAGCTTACTTTTCCTCCCCAGTCCACATGCTTGTAAAATTATTGAAAATGTTGTCTTTAATAATTTTTTTTACAAATGTGACTCTAATTTCAAAAATACAGAATTTCTTTTGAAAATGTAAGTCAATTATAACTTAATAAAAAAATACACCCTAAGCAGAAAAACAGCCCAAAGGCACAACCTAATGTATTTTAGCTTATGTTGAGCCTTTGCAAGGACAAAAGTAAAAAAAAAAACATGGTGTATGTGCATTGTTTCAAATATGCTACAATGCTGTTGTGTCATCTTGTGAAACCTGATGCTTTTAATTTTGCAATACTAAACAGTAAAAAATAAATGAAAAAATAAACAAAACATATAAACTACAGTATAACAGATGAATAACAAAGATACATACTGTATGCACAGCTGAATTTCTGTTCCACAAATTTATAGTTGTCGAGGAAAGATAAAAAAACTGAGGTACAGTAGATAGCATGGTATAGCAGACACCATAAAATGCACAGAACCTGCCTCCTCATTCTTCTGTGCTGTTCACCTGACATAAAGCAGGTGTAGGAATATGGAACATGTTACACCCATGTGGTTGGAACCGATACCCAGGCGTTTTTCAGGAAACGGCTTGATAAGTGCCTCCGATCAATCAGGGAATAGCTACCAATCTGTACTATTAATTTTCAATGCAACAAAACTTTTTATTTGGATTTTAGACAATTGTTCATTTAACTGTTTAGGTATTCACAAACCAGTCTTCCCTAAAATGATTTGGTACACTGAGACAAACTACAACTATTTCAAAAGAAAAAAGTGATCGTTTTCTTACACTCCCAAATACTTTTTCTGAAAACTTTTTTACATTCTAATCCAGACACTTGTTTCCATAGTAGTTAGTAAAGGACAAGATTTGTAGTGACAGAAAAGAATTAAGAATAAGATGGAAAAATAAAAAATTGCCTATTTGTCAATCCATAACACAAACGAGGTTTCTTTGCTCTGTATACTGTTTGAATAATGTCTCTTAAGCACTGTAAACGAGTACAACTCACATATGTTAAACATATGTATGAAGTATGAAACACAAAAACAAGAGGCTAGGACATTTTCCACAACATCTATCTACAGTATACATTTTGTACAGAATGAAAAGCTCACAGCCAATCTATTTCTGATGTGTCTGGTCAAGATATAGTGGGCATAAAGTGAATAACAAACACTGCTTGCAGATAAAGACAATTGCATTTTCTAACTTTTCAGAACCAGAGAACTAAAATGTGAAAAGCAAAAGGACATAGACATAAACTCATTAATGAGCTTGGTACCTTTTCAACACAGTAGTATTTTAAAATAGTGTATGTTAATATTTTAACATTATTGCGTTAATATATTTTAATTTTTGGGCTGCCTTTGTTAATGTTAAAATAGTTCAAATATAAATAGATAAGTGAGCTGTCACAGTATCCTGTCACCACATAATTGTTAAATTTATACAAATACAGAAACAAGTACATTGTTTGCATTTTTTATTCCCCTGTTTTATAATTTTACAAAACAATGAATGGTTATTATTGGAATGGAAGATTAACTAAATTTGCTACTAAAACTTTTTTTGTCATTATAATGTATTAGAAGTATCATTAGTGTTGGTGATATGAAGTAAGGTAATACTACTTGTAGTGCTTAAGTAATAATAATAATAATAGTAGTGTTCAAAAGACTGGATGAAATGATTGCTCAGCTAATTCAATGCAACTTATTTCAAAAGAAAAAAATCTAAGTATACTGCTCTTATCAAAACAAAAATATACGTATATCATCGAGAAAATCACTGGGAAATAAACTTTAATTGCAAAGTGATTTACAATTCATTTTCCAAGGACATTTGTTATAATTTACAATTAGGGGACAATATACAGTATTTGAGCTAAATATAACTAAGTCATGCATAACATCACTCTGTATTGTAGTAAGCAGGTACTAGTTTATAGCAAAATGATTTCTAACAATAAAAAGCACTACTGGTATATTTTCTGAAACTTTGACTTCTAATGCTTCATAATTGCCCAGAATTTCCACAACAATTTTAGGACAGACAAAAAGTACATGAAAATACAAAACAATAAATTGAACACACAGTAAGTTGAGAAAATGAGTGGATTACAGTATATTTACCTTACAAAAATTTCCATAATCTGTGTTATTAAGAGTAGATTTACTATTTAGCTTCTTACACATGCAGACAAGGGCCTTATATATTGCTTTCCTTTTGAAAAATGTAAGTTAACAAAACCTAATCTAAATTTTGTATTTTACATCTTGTATTCATCAACATCATTTTTAAGATACTCCTCAGAGACCAGCTGATTGAGTTCTTTTAAAGGTTATGTCTACCGTGCCCAATTTTGTAAGAGTGGTCAATTCGTATACCAATTAATTCTGAGGCTAGACTTTTTAAACATAAAATAAAACTTACATAAAAACCTGCCATTTGTCAAACTCCTTTTAAAATGTATTCATGTCACCAAACTTTACTTCCATTTTTCCCAAACAAGACATATTGTAGAACTCTGCTGTGCCATGCAAAACCTGTTTAACCAATCTGTCAATGATGGATGATAATACTTCTTTGAATTTACCATTGCTAAAACATCCTAGAATACCAAAAGTTTTACACAGACTTCAGCTACCAATGGTCATGTTTGATTTCTTTGGTACTTTACCAAAAACCCCCAGAAACTTCCATCTCAATCTCAGAAACTTCCAACAACATCCCATTTTATTTCTTTAACAAAGTTTTCTTTCACTATTCTGTATTTTATGGTTTTGAGGTACCAGACAATCTGCAATGTAAAAAACAACTATACTGTTATAACAGCAACAACAAAAATCTTCCTCGTCATTCAAAAACACTGTTGTTCCCAATAACGTACACTACAATATATATTGGGGAAATGAGGAGTGTTTTTGTATTGATACTATAATTTGGACATGTTGCTAACAGGCCTGTAACTAGAAACCTTTTACTGCTGACTCTACTCTGGTCTCCAATTTGCAACCAAAAAACGAATAAAAACTTCTATTGACACAGCTCCCATGAAAGTTCCATACGCATAAAAAAGAGGAAAAGGATGTAATAGTAGATTTGCAAAACTGAATTTCTCTCAAATGGTACAACACTCGTTTTTTTTTTTCCCTCTCACGGGATGCACTAGACTGCCTGGGAGGATTGCTTTATATCATTCACCACTCCCTCTGCTTGCTCTCCCTTGCCTTCTTCTGCTGCTATCACGATCGTTTCAGTGTAAGGAAGTTTGCCGTCTTCCCTCTGGGGTGCTGCCAGCTCTGTGACACTGGTCTCCTGCTTCACCTCCGTCACCACCTCGGTGTAGGTGACGTCAGGGTTGGGTTTCCTGCTGGCTTTGGGTGGTGGTGCAGAAGCTCCGGACTCCTCTGCTGCTTGTTCTGCGTGAGCCCCCTGGGTTCCCTCCTGGCCCTCTGCTACTGTCCTCTCCTTGTCCTTCTTGATAGAAAACTTGAACGACTCCTTGGTTGGAGCAGCTTTGCTGATGCTTTCCTTCAGGCGCTCCCCAGAATGCTTTATCCTCTCCCCGGACTGGCGGATCTTCTCCCTGCGCTCTGGCGTCACGATCCGGGTGCTGATCTGGTTGACCTTCGTACCCAGGTTCTGCTTGGTCTTGGTCATGTTCTCCTTTGTGAAGGCCTTCTTGATACTCTCGATGCGCCTCATCCCTGACTTCTTGAGGCGGGCAGCGGTGGAGGAGTCGGCCTCCTCCACCACCATGTACTCCTCGTCAGAGGACAGATCCGCAGGGGCGTCGTAGGTATCTGGCTCGACCGTGCTCACCCCTGGAGCTCCTTTAGGAGTTTTTGTAACAGCCACTGAAGGGATCTCGGTTTCACCCTGTGGAGAAACAGGGGAAAGTTCTGAGTGACAGTTTCACACTTTTTTTTTTTGATTGAGCTGCAAAAATATACAGAAATCACAGAAGCATAACCATTCCTTTTTTTGTTTGGTAACAATCCCCAAATTCGGGTATTTCCATTTCAGAGCACACTGCAATTTAGTTCACAAATAGGTTCTGTCTAAATTATTTTGATACCTTTTTACATTTTTGGGGGATGGATTACTCCTTTTTTTCTGAAATGTCTAATTGATTTGTAACCTGATACACAAAAACAAGAATAGTAATGGAAGATGCATTCATGAAGAACCAGTGCAAACTACCAGCACACTCTCATAATCACTGCAAATATGGTGAATCCATTAATTTAAACCCCAAAAAGCTGAGTATTTGTCAGACAACTCAGTTTCTATATTAAAGGTGAGGAAGAAATACTTAATTCGCCTCTTTTTTCGTAAGCATTACCCACTGACATGAAAGAGCAAGCACTTGTGTTTAGACCGTCCTCTGACATACTCTTCAGTACAGTGACAGGAGTTATACACACAGGTACTTTTTTGTTCCTTTTGGTCACTCAAGGATTAAACTCTAGTCTACACACTGTCATGACGTGCAGTACAGTTCATGAGTTGTAAACTAGCAGTCAGAAAGAGGGATCTGGGATTAAATTATTCAAAACATGCAGCACTGACTTTCCATACATCAGAAATAATAAAATTGTGAGTGTACTAATTTTTGCTCCTGTAGTAGTGAGTTGAAATGCAACTTCTTACCCCCTATCCATATAATGTAATATATCGAATCATAGAAAAATAATAATTCAAATAAGATTTATTACACTTGAGAGATGTAAAACTCTTTCCTTCAATAAAAAGTAATAAACCATCATTAAAATGAAATACTGACAGAGCAAATGAAAATCTCTGGCAATATTTTTATATTCAGTGTCCTACCAGTATCCTTAAAGTAATATCATTAAACTTTGAAAAAAGATATGGTAACTAATTAGTGAACCAAATAATTTTCTATTCAGGCTATTTATCCTTCATAGAATTAGATATTATTTTACAGAATGCATTTTGAGGGCACTTGCCTTGCAAAAAATGTTCCTACAGTAAATGACTTGTGAAATTCAGCTGTACTCTGTGATGGGTTAAATGGGTAATTTTGAGTCCAAACCTAATTAATTTCAATCTACAATCTAAGACAAGTAAATAATACACTCATCAATCAAAGCAAAATGACCTTCTGATTAACAATCCCTAAAACTGAAGAGATGACCAAAATTTGAAAAAGTATTCTGAAAACAATGCCTTGGCATTCACCGTAGCTGTGGTTTCATCTTATATTGACTGCAGATAAGTTTCCTAATGTGAATATTTCAGAGTACTGCTCCACATTTGCAAGGACAACACTGTGTCAAGTATGATTAATATTTTGAAAAAGAGAAATTGGGCAGTCATGCTAGCATAAAATGAAAGCAGTGGTTAAAGGAATAGATTGCTTGATGTTTTGGCTTAGATTTCATTTACTGCTTCATTAACTTCATTTACTTTTTTAATTATGTATTGTTGAATGTTATATAAAAGTGTATTACATTTTAGTAAAGTCTTAAAGAAAAAAATCTCAACATTAAATCTTCCTTCCAAATAATGTAAAACCACAGACAAGGTGCCTTTCAAAGCTTTTTGTCCCAGAAAAAAAAGTGCTATCCATTTCCTAATATAGCTTTAAAAGTTTTAAAAGCACATGAGTTTAGAGATGACAAGCCAATGGACAAGACACATTCAGATTTTAGTTTTTTAGTCATAAGATTAGGTATTTCATTAAACAAATTTTGGTCTGAGGCAAACTCATAGAATGTGGTTCTATTATGCCATTTAGCATTTATGATGCCATGATATCATTAGATAATACATATAAATCAGAAACATTACTGTAGTTTACACAAATATGTAGCAGCAGGCATACATGTTCATAATAACATTTCATAAGGAGACGTTGTTTGAAAAATAATGCAAAACATACTGAGTTGGGTTACTGGAATACACACCAGCAAATGTTCTTAAGATGTCACAGTATATGGGACTGACTTTATTTCCTGCTTTCAGTCACACCATATCATATCACATTCCACTTCTGTACTAAATAGGATTATCTAATTATTATTTACCACAATCAATGTACAGAACATTGGTTTCTCTTAATATCTGCCAAGCAAAAAATATAGCCTGTCAAAACAATTTACATTGTGGGATTTTGTTTGGTTTTAGAACCACTTCTTATGATGAATTAGATTCCAAAGCAATAAACTCCTTACTGAGTGTTTAAAATATCTAATAAGGAATTAGATGAAAATGTACCAAAGAAGTTTTAGAACTACAATACTCCTCCGGGTGTTGCCCCACTCTTTAGTAGGCAGTAATGATTCAAGAACGGCCATGAGCTCAATTTCCAAACACTCTTTGTCACACTCAAGTAGTTATCAGAAGCCCCCTGACACTTGAAACAGCAGAAATGTAATTATATTTTAGTTACGGCAAGTATTACTCATGGAACCTTGCTTTATAGTCCAGCAATAGCACGTCTAATCACTAGGGATCACTTTCCGAAAAAAGTTTAATGACCCGCGCAATAGCTGCAGAGTTAAATACGATAACACTATATTTGGAGATCTATGTCTTGTCCAAACAGGGCCTCAGAATAACTGCTAGCCAATCTGTCATCTAGCAATATTTTGCCAAGCCTGGTTCCTGTCACACTTTCCCACCTTTACTGCGTATTCTTTTAAAAGTTGAAGCCAATTATGTAACAACAAAGCTCTTTTAACTTTGCCACCTTCCAGGTTATAACTATCAATTGCATTGACTTTTACTCTACATTTGTGAACCGCTCGTGTTCTCCGTCAATTTCTAACTCCTTAAATTTATCTTTTGTTTTGTATTTAATTTTATGGAGCAAATCTGCATGTAAAATGTATGTGATTCAGAGTGAATCACTTAGAATTTGGACATAAAGCTGTATTTTCATACTACACTCATCAACTTTACTTTTTAAATGGAATGGAACAAAACATGGACGCATTCTTTGATTACCATAGTCCCAGTGTGTTTTAGATTTATTTATTTTTAATCTGGAACAACCTAATTTAATCCACTTTTTTGGTTGAATTCAGCTAATGGAAATCTATCCAAGTGCAGAGCACAATAGCAGCTGCTCATCTTCATAACTATTTAAAAAAAAAAGTAAATGTTAGATGTTCCATTACAATCAGTAAATGCCCAATAGCTGGCATAAGCTTAAATTCTCTCCAAGCCATTACCATTGCACTCTATTTCCATTGAGAAATCTCAACTTTGAGATTCAGCTTTGTGCTTCGCTCTTTGGTATCGCAGGTTATAAAAATGTTAAGTAGGAATGTTAAAACATTAGGTCATGCTGCCCTTCCTCGGTTTGCCCTCAACTTCAGGAATATATTAGCTGCCGTCTCCGAAGGGGTGTTGAGGTGGAGGGTGCTGGGAAGGGAGGTTTCACTTGAAATCAAAGCCCCTGTGGGTTCCTGAGAGCAGTTATAAAAGGACACCAGTGACTGACAGGGTCATCCTGAAAGACTGGCGGGGGCTGTCTTCTACATATTACTTTTCATAAGGGCAGCACATAACCTTTCTCTGGACAGCACTTCATCTTGTGTTCCTCTCCTCTGTGGGGCATGCCACACACTAATAATAGCTGTGCCATCATGGGGTTCGCAGCTGCTCTCTTTGAAGACACGAAACGGCAGGGATCAGCTCTTTACCCTTTTTAAACGGAAAGTGCTCGATCTCAAGCTCTCAGTGATACAAGCCCTTATACCTCCTACAATGCCTGCCCAGCCATAATCCTTAGACACACCCTTTAACCCCGTGGGAGGCAGGGATTTTGGGAACTTTTCTTGCCACATTCACATTCCTAAGTGGTATGACCTATGCCTTGTCACCATGTGGTCTGTATGAATGAACTTGCATATGATTGTCCTTGAACACAGCAGTGGTCCTGTATCACAAAACTGAACTGAATCAATATACAGCTTACTCCCTTCAACATTTTAAAAGTTGCATAGTGTTAGTGCTAGGATCTGAATTTTCATCAATTTATTTGAAAATGATTGCTTGGTCTAGAATTGTTCTCTTTGTCTCAAACCCATCATATTTTGTATAGCTTCAGATGCTCCTTGGTTAAGAAAGGCAAAACTATAGCTGTTGTTGCAGGCAACAGGAAGTTGTGGCCATTGGATATCTAATAATAGTAATTATGGAATCTCTGAATGGGAAAGAAGAAAAATGTATTATAAATGGGGGATTACGGGCTCTGAAAAAGTACTTTAATGTTAAAACGTACAGGTCTCTAACATCCTATGTGGTGAATTTGCATGTTGGTGAATGACTGAAAGGTAATGGTGATGCTGTATTATGTAGTATGCACTCTGTTACCTGGTAGATGACAACTCGGAACTTGTTCCTCATCAGCAGCTCCTCCTGGGTGGCTTCTACCTTCTTAACGCGAATGTTTTGCTTCTCCACACGCTGGCGCACGTCCTTCACGTTGGAGCTGACCTTGCGGGTCTTCTCCAGCAGCTTCTCCACCGTGTTACCAGTGATGGAGTGGTCCTTCGCCAGCTTGAGTACATCGATCTGGATGGTTTTGATGTTGTTCTCCAGCTCCAGCTGCCGCTCCTCCATGCGCTGCTGGCAAGCCTGCACGTTGTCGATGATGCCCGCCACACGCTCCAGGAGGGAGAGGATGGTCAGGGTGCTGATAGGGGCACCTGCCTCATCCTCCCCGGTGCCTGTCACCTCCAGCTTGTCTGCTGCGACTGCCTGGAATTGCTGCTGATCCATTATCTGAACAAAAAAGCAGTACTCTACTCCAAAATCTTACAGACCTACTGCCTGTGTTTCAAGGATCCCAAAACTTGATTGTATCTCAGGGGGCTGAATCCTGGAACATGAAGCCGCAGCAGCAGGAGAGGCGACGGCAGAGAGTCTGTCACCCGTACCCAGGTCTGGAGCAGAAGAACGTAGAAACTCCAACTACCCTCTGGTGGGCTGCTCAGACATTTAGGATCAGACAGTCACACACACAGTGCAAAGATCGAGAGAGAGAGACACCCTTTTGCACTCCACAGTTATAAATACTTGTTCTGTAAGGTGACACTTTTACATTTTTGGAAGATGCAGTACTGGGATAATGGAAATCCCCCTTCACACACAGCCTTTTCACCCTGTTGATTCATTCATATTTCACGTATCTCACTATTTATATATATGTATATATGCAATACAGTGCAGTTATACATACTGCATATATATCATGCACACACACATATATATATATCTATGTATGTTTGGATCCTCTATCATCTCTCCATTCTCACACCTGTATTGCTTTTATATATCAAGGATTACTAAATGGAGACCCCGCCTATAAAAATATTTATTGCATAACAAATACTCATAGCACCTCATTTTATTGCAGTGGCTTCTAAAATAAAACCTACTACCTGTGTCCTGGAAGATCTTTTTCCTATCTCCCTACTCAAAACTAGCTTCTCTGCTCTCTGCTCTTTGTCCTTTTGTTGCTTACCTCACCAATGAGTCCCTGATATCTACTCCTGTTCCTGTAAGATTAAAGTCAGCAGCAATTTTAGAAAACCTAACCTGGAATATCTAAGTTTTTAGGTAGTAAAAATATTTCTGTTAGATTAATAATTTTATGAATTGGAAAGCAATTAAATAATTCTCTAAGGAAAAGAATGAAGGCCAGGTTCTTACATCAATATTGAAGCTTAAAGATTTTTCATATTTTTTAAATAATATTCTTTATACAGTACCTTTTTCTTGTCAATGTAATTGTTTTAAAAAGAAAGATGAAGCCTAACATATTTTTGTGTATACAGTATATTTCTCACCTTAATTGTTTCAAAGATATTTTCCTGGTAGGCAGTGCTGTTTTAGGAGGTCTCATGAATATACTGTAAGTATTGACTGTTACATTAAACCTATCAGGTTCATTTCTAGTTCTGTATGTGTGGAGTTTACATATTCTATCTTCGTCTATGTGGGTTTTCTTTGGGTAATCTGATTTTATTCCACATTTCAATGATGTACAGGTATCCGGGTTAATTAGTATCTCTAAATTGACTGCTGTATGCGGTGGCTCTGTGGCTAAGGACCTGTGCCTGTGGCTGGGAGGTTGCTTGTTTGCAGCCTGCGGCCAGCAGAGCAATCGTACTCCATTGGGCCCCTGAGCAAGGCCCTTAACCCCAACTGCTCCAGGGGCACCGTATAAATAGCTGACCCTGCGCTATGATCCCAAGCTTCTCTCTCTGTCTGTGTGTCTCACGGAGAGCAAGCTAGAGGATGTGAAAAGACAAATTTCTAATACAAGAAATTGTATATAGCAAATAAAGTGATCTTATCTTATCGTATGTTTGGGCCCTGTACCGCCTAGAGTGTAATTCTGCCTTAGACCCTTGCTTGCTAAATTGGGGCTCACCCTGACCCTCTAAGACTGTCACTGGGGTATCATTGAGTTAAAATTTTTGCTTTCTCATAGCTTTCTAAACAAGCGACTGGGTATCAGTGATGTATTTACACAGACTGTGTCACTCAGATTAGAAATATGTTAGATATGTATAGACAAGTTGTTAAATTCTACACTGACACAGTAGACTAATTCTAACTGGAGCACGTCCTGAAACCTGCTGTAGCATTAGACACAGGCATAAAGCTATTTCCCAACCTCCACTTTCTGTTTAAGGATTGATTCCTAAAAGCAAGTGATTGAGTTAAAGGGTCAGTAGGCTTCAGAAGTTGTTTGTAACAGAAAACAGAAGTCACACAGGCACTCCAGGGCCAGCACTGCGCAACACTGCTCTGAAGCAGGAGTCTGTGTCTTGGGAGGCCCTGTGTGTCTGCTGGTTTTCTAGGTCTCCTTCAAAGCGCTGGCACGTAAAAGAGTTGGAAGACACATTTCCTGAAAATACATTAGTCTCTGAACATTGTGTTTCATCAATTGTGACTTTTCAAAGTAATATTTTATGCATCAGAACTAATTTAGGTCAAGCATAGCATAGGGGGCATCAACATTTTTTAGCTCTGATTTTTCTTTGCAGTTTGTGCTGACATGTAGGTTTTCACCCATCCCAGTGATATGTTTGAGTACTCACGTTTTAATGTTCACATTAAAAATGTGCATTCATCATTTTGTATTTCAGCATATTGGGACATTTTTTGGAAGAAAATCAATATTTTTGCAAGACACTGCATTTATTTTCTTATCATTGCATTTATTTCTAATCATCCGAAAAAGAATTGTCTAAAATGTTCTGAAACATTTTTTTTAAATAAACATTTAAATTATATGCAATACATTAATTATTAAAAAAAATATTTTTATGTGCAACATTACTGGTTTGGAGGCTTGGAGAATGACTTTGTTCTGTTATATTTTCCATTTCAGCAGCTGTGAGGACCTTTGTCATGAGAAATTTGAAACAGCAGTGAAGTCGAGTCCCACCCTTTCTTATTCTTGTGCAGTACAATTATTTATTGCTCTCGTTATTCTTTTGTGAGCTATAACGAGGTGCTCCAAAACTAGTGGTGTGGTGGAAACAGTGTGAAAGGTAAAACATGCAGTTCTCATTTCAACGATCAGTGAAAATAACGTTGGGGGGTGCATGCAGCCCAGTCTTCCATAGGCCCTGGTAGTTTTTTTTTAGAATATGAAAAGGTCAGGATCTGTAGAGTCCTGTCACCTAGCGACACAGGCAAACTGATCCTACGGCAACGAGTGGCATGCATTTCCCTGAGGGGCTGGAGAATCTCCCAAATTTAAGCCAGCAGCTGTGCTACAGGCCCTCTGGCCTTTTCTATAATTACACAGCAGAGGGCAAGCTTTTCTCATTTACATCAGGTGCCCTAAATAATACTAAATGAACCTTATTATTTCATTTTTAAACTTATTTTTTTTGAAGGCATTGGCATTTCCTCAGTGTTTGGATTTTGGCAGTTTCAAATGACCAGTTTCTTTTTTATGTCTAAATCATGAGCAATGCTCTCTTTTGGCTCTGAGCAATTTGGGAGTTACAGTTAGGGGTGATTGGGGAGTTGTTTTTAACGTTCAGTTCTGTCAAGAGACCTCATTTCTAGTGAATAAAAAATTCATTGTGTATTTGATTCCATTGCCTAGTCTGGCCTTTAGGCCCCATCCTTTAAAGCAGCTCTGCCTCTAATCAGCCCTCAAAATGTCTACATGTGACCAACAGACTGAGTGGGAGACATATCAGTCTGCTGCCGTTCCTGATTGGACAGAGTCAGAGACATCTGTGTAAGCTGTAGAAGAGAAGGCAAGTCCAAAACAGTCAGTAGGTGTCTTTAAATACCTTTCCTTGCTGTTAATTGGATGTGTTTGATTATTGACTATCAGGGGAGTGCTGTTTATCTGTGGAATGAAACTTTTTAAGAAAAGGGCAGTTACTGTAGGTGGCATGAGGTGCTTTGTGTTGTAAGGTGGCAAAGATACCTCAAACATTACTGTGCTTAATGCCTGCTGTTTATTCGTAGTACATGTGGTCTGCAGCAACACAGAGCCTATTGCATAAACATGAAGCAAAAGCTGGGACAGGATGCCGGTCCATTGCAGGACAGGCACAAACTGTAGACACGTGTTTGGAGAAAGCAATTGGTCTACCCAGGAGGTTGTTGAAATGTGGGGGAAAACCAGAGTAAAAATTGATCTGAAGATAGAGTTCACTAAATGCCATTTTTTGAATATGGTAATCTGTTTGCATGGAAATAATTAGTAACAGATTCTTGAGGCACACAGTATAGTGCATATAACAACAGTTAACAGGAGTAGTTTCTTTTTTCAATGACATCTGTAGTGTATAGCATAAAGCTCTTTAAAAAATGCTGTCTTTTAAAATAGTCTCTAACAAATTTCAGACTTATTTTTAAAATGGCTCTCAGGGGAAAACTTTTGCAAACTAGTAATTATCTTAAGCATCCTCATTGTGGCCTTTAATTAACTATATGTCCTTTTATCCACATTTAAGACATTAATGAAACATTTAATTAATAACTAATTTGAAGTTAAGTACTGCAATTTCTTTTAATCATTATATTTTTCCAACTGCACTGAAAACAAAATTCTTACACAACAAATTCAGAACAAAGAGAAGGAGTTATTTGAAGCAAGACCTGAAATCAGTAAGGTATTAATTAAAATGCAGACTCCCTTATTTTGAATTATTCCCAATTACAGTAATACCCATAGTAGTCCATTATGATACTGCCACATTTAATGTTATATTAGCATTTTTCAGGTGCAATATGGAAAGTCTTATTGCAGAAGTACTGCTTAACAGAATTGTCCATTTGCAAAATAAGAAAAAAATGAAGATACTGTATGACAAATTTTATAATTAACAATTGTTTTGGGGTTCATGAGGGTAGACTTACCTTCAGATTACTCATCAAAAGGAGAAGGGAAGTTACAGTACCTGAAACCCAACTACTGGACCTTGAATTCAATGAATCCATATGGATTACCATGTATTTCAATTGTGATTAAATAGTAAAAAAGTGATACTTTTACTACGTATACTGAATACTACGTATACTGAATACTACTATATAATGAAATATTGGACCTGATGAATTACTGTTGAAAAGCAAATGTCAATCACTTTTGTAATCAGGGTTTTCTATTTTTTCTTTTGTATCCATATCAGTGTATCAGTATAATAACCTCATCTATTCTTCCAGAGAAAGGTTACAGGTTACCAAGAAGTGGCTTCCTGACATTAGGTAAATTTATTTTCTTTTAGAGTTTAACTAAGCATAGCAGTAGACTTTAATGATGAGTACTTGAATTCATTACCAGCACACACTTATTATGATCTCCTGAGGTTACATAAAACGTGGCTCCCTTCTGGTGTTTTTAGCGCGGAGAAACGTCTAGGAAAATTTTCAACATATCTTCCACGAAGCTAACAGGGAACAGAAAAGAATTCAGTCAATTCCATGTCTTACTCTTACTTATTTCAGCATCACCTATAATTTCAGAGGACCCCACTACTGGAACCTAAGGAAAATAAAAACCTATCCATCATGACAATTTTCAATGTACAGTATTTATACTGCACATCAGGTTAAATCAGTATACATCATCTGTTATGCATCTGTTCTCTGAAATACTCTCTCACCTTCATTTCAGAATCTGCATACGATCTAACGGGAATATTAAACCGTTTTTGATTCTTGGTAAAAAAACACAATTTTGCCAAGTCGTCAACAGAGCTGTGTACCATTTCTGTTCTACCAGCATCCACCACAGGGAAACAATAATCTGTGAAGGAGTTTAGGCTGTACTATAGAATAGCCTGTGTCTTTGTGTCCCCAATTATTCCTGAAATTGTAGAGCAAAGCATTGGCCTGTCTTGCCCAGTATTTTAAATCAGTTCATTCACTAGACTAGAATTACCACTTACTAAGATATATGTGTGTCACTTTGTTTGCTGGACCACTAAATGTTTCCACAGCCCAACAGAGCAATGCCACGATAAAAGTTCTGAATTCGTCTAATAATGAAATAGTTTTGTTTACAACAGTGTTGCTTGAACAACTATATAAATGTTCTGGTGAATGTGTGGGGACAGGGTTCCTTCTACTTGCGCATTATCAATAAACGTGAGTGAGACAGTTTCAGAGTTGGTCGATGACCGAACAGCTGTGACTCCAGAAATCAAGGATACAAAACACTTCACGGGGTCTTTATGTCCAAACCTCCCATCTTCACTAATTCATCAAGAAGTTTCAACAGTGGGTCTGTCATACAAGCATTATCTGCATTTGAGACCCTCTGTTTTAGGCCATAGTATTACTATGTTTTACATACTTATGTAAAACATAGTAATACTAATGCTTGAAGAGATATAAAAAATGCAACATAAAAAGCCAAATTAAAGAAATGGGCAGGAGTTTTTGAGTGACCCATGTCAATATCTTCCTTCCCCTAAATGGTGTATATAAAGTGCTCAATAATGTAAAAAGAACAGCATTAACAGAAATAAGCAATTCACAAATACATGACATACATTAAAAAAGCATCTTTCTTTTTTATTTTTTATTATTTTGGACAAAAAAGCTGACTATAAAGTCCTACATGCAGAATTCTTAATGACATGTCAAACAAACACATTCTACTCACATTTTTAAGTCACCTCTGGATGGTTAATAACAAGTAGAAGACTACTTTCAAAGAACTACATCAGATGAAATCAGACAAAGACCCTTTAATTCTGGATCAAACAGTGTTCATTATATGTCAGGTATTACCCCTTTCTGTCTGCTCAGCCAGGTGGCTGTGACAGTTCTACGGCAGGGTAATCTTTTCCCCTCAAACGCTCCTATGCAGTGTCAGAAACTGGAAACTTCCACTTGGCTTCTTTCTGACAGTTACTTCTTGAAGTAAGCATTATAAAGTCATCACTTCCACTCTTTTTCCCCTGCCTTGCATCAATAATACAAAACATGGATTAACACCTTCTTTGCCACACATTAACATCTTACTCTGAGAGTTCTGAAACAAACTCCAAAACTCCATCACTTAAGACCTTGTTCGTAAAAGCAGGGGATTCTTTTTTGATTTGATGAGTATTGTAATGTTTTCTAAAGACACACCCCTTGCTTTCATATTCCTCACATCAACAAGCACTACCAGTCACATTTCAAGGGTTGCTAGTTGTACACTAAGGCCTATTCGAATATCGATACAGTGCTGGAATTTCAAAATGGTAGTGCTCAGATGTAAGTGACAAAAATGCCTGAAACATACAGCATTTCATTAGGTTAAAACTACTCCACAGAACACAGTTTCACAAGTCATGCGATATGCAGTGTCTAGAATTAAAGAAATCATAATTATAACATAAAAACATAAAAAGCTACGTATTTCCAAAAAACATTTAAATTATTAACTAGTCAAACACAGTGTGTTCTATTTATTGTATTTCATAATAAAGACAAACTGTAAACATCTTCACCTTGCTGGCTCATGCCTTGTTCATTAAAACTGCATTTTGGTGTTCAGCTGCACGTCTTTTGCAAATAAAATCTGGTGAAGTTGTTGAGTGTTCCCAATAAATAGCACATTCCATGAGTGAAGCAGAAGTCTATTACATTACCATGGGATTCAAGTTAGGTAGGCCTAAGCTACCACCTTCAAAACGCAACGAGAAAAAAAAAGAAGAAAAAGTAACATAGAAGAAAAGAACAGAATACTTTTTTGGACGGTTTCTTTCAGTCTGTAGCTGTTAAAAATGTTACTTGCTGCCAACGGCAGAAGTTTCAAATGTTCAAGAAACGAAAAAAAAAATAAGGCCCCTGAAATAAATATCTTCATTCTTCTTTTTTGCCTCAAAAAAAGCAAAACTAAAAAAGGAAAACAACAAACCATAACTGAAGAAAGTCTTCCACATGGTAAGAAAAGGTATCAAAAACAGCAAACTACACCATTCTAGAAGATGTGTCTGACGTAAAATGTCCCAGATTTTGCTTTTGCCTGCGTCCCCGATTGTTTTTGGGGCATTTCCTGCAAGAGAAACAAAAAGTGAAAAAAGGAATAACATTCGTCTTGAAATTCTTAGTATCCTTCTGATTGTTCACTGCGTCTAGTACTGTATATGAGCACTTAGTAACCATGGAGACCGTTAATACTTAATTGGAAAAAAGAGTACAAATAACTTCTAAGCAGTGTGACTGATTTGGCTGTGAGACAAGCACTAGACATTAACCTGCCACAGTCAGTATATAACATTACAAAAAAGCACTGTAATCTTTGTGAAGAAAATAACACTAAAAAGGGCATTTTAGATATATAAAAAGACTAGCACAGTTCACCTGACAAGTGATACTGCACTAAGAATCACAGATTATTATTTGTTCTTTAGAACCGAAAATGTTAAGAGAAATAATGAAATGACACCCCACACCAAAAATACATGACATGACTTTTTACCTTCCTATGCTGTCTTCTATAGATCAAGTAGGGAAAGGTCACCTATGGTTGTGTATGATTTGCTGTAGTATATTAGTAGGTGATGTACTAGATGATGGATTGGTGTAGTGTCTCTGTAAAAGTGAGATCTGTGCAAACATTCAAGCATTGCCACAAGATTATAAATAATATGTTAAGGTGTTAATATTGCCTACGACATTTAAAAAGATTAAGCGTTATACAAGTGCAAGTGCTAGGTAGCAAAAAATTTAAAATGACATAGTTTTGTGGACTGGAGGTTAGGACTCTGGCTTTTTAATTAGAAAGTTCAACTCTTGGGCACTGAAGTACCATTGAACATGGTGCTCCTATAGCTCCAGCACCTACAGTGCTGAGTTATATAAATGGGTGTTTACCAGTTTAATTGACTTATCTGGTTAAAATGAAGATTTAGCACCATATTATTAGTGTAAGCATTTATAAATAGAGAACTCAACTAGGATATGAGGAGGGATGTATTGTATATCAACAACCTGCATTTCAACACCATTCAGAAACAAATATGAACATTTCAGGAAACTCTATGAGTAAAACAAAATAACTGCAACTTCTTTTTTCTTATTGGCATTACCATCTTCCCTGATATTACAAGAAACTGCAAAGATTTACTTTCTGATTCTGATTTTTTAAACTGACATTGTTTATATCCGATACACAGAATGATAAATAATGATATACAGAAATATATCAAAATAACTATCAGGGTAGTAAAAATATAATTACGGTATTGCTTTGATGAATGGAAAGTTCCTGGGTTAAGAAAAAGGCAAGAACTTATTAAAATTTCAAATGTGACAGTTTTTTCTCTACAGTATTCTTCCTCTTTTTTGTGGACTACTGGAGCTGTAAGCACATAATTACAGTGAAATGGACCGAATCACAGAGACACTATAAAATGACATCAAGGGGAAAAAAAATGCCGGTCACAAAGCTAATTCAACATAGATACAAAACTGAACATTAATCACAATCACCTTCTCAGCAGCCCTGCAAGATAGCTCTAGTTCTAATTCTCTCTAATATATACAGAATAGAGGCATTTAAATTATCCACACAATATAGATTTCTAGTAGCCCCGAAATGTCGGTTCAAAACCTGTTCCCTGGGTATTAATAGCATTAGACTGTGATTTGTTTACCCTTCTTCAAACACAAGCAGCTTGTCTTTGAGGGTAGGCTGCATCCATAGTGTTAAATCAATTTCGTTTACCAGCTCTAATAAAGAAGAGAAGTATTGTTCTGTCTTTATTTCCCCTTCTGATGTTGTACTTAGCATGGACAGTGTAGTTGTAAATATTTGAATAAATAAATATAAAAGCAAGAATCAAGCTAAAACTCAAGTATCAATTATATTTTTAGAACAAAGAAATAAGTGGCTTGTATCCATAAATGCACAATGGAATAAACTCTGACTTCATTTCAATTGGATAAGCTACCCTTTCCATCAGTTTGGTACCAACAAGTGATGGCACACATGAAATATGTAATATTCTTTTAAGACAGAGCTGGAGTTGCATTTTAAACAAGATGCAAAACATTAAAATGCAAAAGCAAAAAACAGTAAACTCCACCTCCACAGTACCAAACAATCACTGAAATAGGATCAACAGTGCAAGAACATAAAAAGGGAATTACTCACTTGCACTTACTCTTGACTTTCTGTAATACATAGTATTTTCTAATTCAAAATTATGAGTACAATTTGACATTTCAGTGCTTTGTCTGAAATGAAAAGAAATGGTACTTCACCTCTGCCAAACTGTAGAGCAAAAATTCCGTTTATGCTCTTAGAAAGATAGGCCCAACCTCCAGACAAACACACAGATTCTAGGCAGTAGGCTTGCCCTCTACACAGCAATAATTACCTTGTGATGCACATCACTACAGCAACTATGATAGCTATCTGCACAGCTCCAATGATGGCCGCAATCAGAACGTAGTGAAGCTTCTGTCCACTGGGGACCACATATAGGATGTTGAAGTCCTGGGTTTCATCACACTGTGGGCCTTTGTATCCAGACTCGCACCTGGAAGAGTCGTGAAGCGCTCATTACAAGAACATCTCTTACAAACCTCCCTAATATTTCAGGAGGTGACACCTGCCATCAAGAATGTGCGCCATTCTAGAAAAGGAAATGGTTTAATTTCACCAAATGTGTTAAAACTACAAAACACATATAAACAAGAGCCTCATTTATTTGTATGATTTTTTTTGTGTACAAATACTTGAAAACAGCTAAAAAACATTTTCACAATCTGAAACAACAAGAGGATGACAAACACTCCTTCTTGTGTATAGTACTTGAAAGATTGACTGTACCCCCTCCTCAGTATTCAACTAAACCGCTTGTGAAACAAATTCTGTCTTAACAATTTTCAACACTGCATTATAGTCTGTAAAAGCAACAATCATTAATAGGAGACAAATGAGCTAAATGACACATTATTTAATGTGAGTCATACTTAAGCAAATTAGTTGAGAAGGTGGAATTTAATTATTAAAAAATAGTCTGCGCGCCCATCCCTGAAAAACAAAATTATTGGCTTTTTTGAAAATGCCTTTTCTTTACCCAAGCCAGCCTTTGATATACAGGTATAATAACATCAATAGGATGCATGACCTCAAGGTTCCAGACTTGGCAGGAAACGATTTCTAGATAAAGGGGATATTAACATTGTTTTAGATAAAGGAGTACTTATTCATAACATTGCCCCAGTCAAAGAAAACTTCACAGAAGTGAAGCAAGGAATTGGATCCTCCAATGTACTTCAGTATTGGAAAGTTGTATATAAATGAAATTATGAAATTGAAATTTAAAAATGAATTAAAGTGAAGACATTTTGCAAAGGATGGGAAGTATTTCTGTCATGGCAATATGCAGGTAATTAAAATAATACAAATTAGTCTGACAATTTACTCTAGATCATTTCTTCATTAAAAGAGTTGTTTTTCCTTGTACAAAACTTCTATATATATTTTTTGTATATTATATGTACAGATTTTTTTAATTAAAGTTCATTAAATGTCTCCATTTCACATCATGGTATTAACCAAACCACCCCTTGGAGAACACAAATGAGGGGACAGAGGAGCACAAATTAACAAGTCAGACCCACAACTTGGTAGACTATATTTAATTTTTTTTTCTATTCTGAAAGCAATAACATTTCCACGCATTTTCACTAAGTAATGAGAACCCTTGTAACACACATATTCACTTATACTGGAATGTTACTTTCTTTCAAATGCAAATTACTTAGCTTCATAATACAAGGAAATATAATTAAGGTAATTTATTTGTCAGAAACAAATCAGTACACCCACTTTCAATCTTGCATCCAAAAAGCAGAGCTCATATTCAAACTCACTTGTGTAAGCTCGTTGCCCTGTAAAGGAGGTTAACAGCACTGTGCTGCCGACAAGACATGTTCAAGAGAAATCACATTATCTTATAAAAACATGAGAGTAAGAGTTTAACTGAGACAAACACCTCAAACTTGCATTTTAATTTCCAATAAGCTTGTTTTAAATACAAAGAATTAACAATTCTATACCTGCGTATTATGATCTTCATAACCTGGCTGTTTGTATCAATCTTGCTGGTGTGGAATCCCTGGATTGTGACTATGGCACTACTCTTGGCTATGGTGCTGATGGAGTATGTGACAGAAACGATGTAGTTAATAACAAATAAGCAAGTAAAGAACAGTTCTTACCGACAAGAGGCCATGTTATATTTAATTTCACACTTCCCATGGATGCAGAAACCTGCGTAGTTCTCAGAACAGGGAACAGACACTCCTGTATACACTCCTTGGTCACCAGTCTCTGCAATTCAAATGAGAAGCAGGAGGTGAAGCAAATGACATGAAGCGATGGCTTATTTAACTCAAGCAATTGTTATGAAAGTATCATTTACCTATTTTTTCTCCTAAGTTAAGATTTCCTAGATATCTTTTGGATCATATTGGACTTCTGGTGTCACACCAGAGTTTGCATTGTGTTTTCTGTATCAATATTTTAAATTGACACAGGTTTTGTTTAAAATGGTGTGTTCACAGTGATCAATGTCTAGCTAAGAAAGACAGTCAAACAGTCATTCATGGACTCCCAGATCATGGCTTATCTCCTTGATCGTTTTCACTGTCCTGTTTCCACTGCATCATAATTGTGACAAGTCATCCCTCAGCAATTATTTTGAGAGCAGATGTCGAAACAGTTATCAGATGACCACACAGGGGCTCAGTGCTCTCCAATGTTCACCAACGCACCAGACCAGAAGGAGGTGTTGTGAGCACCAGGAGGCGAGTGTTGTGAGTTGGTCGAGGTGATTGAGCCGAGTCCACGTTTGGCATTGAATCAAAGTTTGGTGTGGATCACTCTGAAGGACATCAGCAAGTGTTTTTTTTCTGCAGATTTGCACCACGTGAATTATTGTATACACCAAAACCAATTGATGGGGGGAAGTAAAAGTATCTTGGTCTGGGAAGGAGTCTTTAATCATTGCAGAACTTCACCTGTCAGCTTACCATCAATCACTTACACATTATCTTGACACAATGGCATTCCAAAATTCCAGCAAGAAATGAACATCCTTATGCTGCTTATATAACGATATATTTCTTGTGAGATAAGAATGTGGCACTACTTGCCATGCTTTAGCCAGCTAGGTTGACATTTAGCACCTATGGCTTAGAGACCTGTGAATAGATCCATGGGGAATGAGTTAAATCCCACAAAATAGCATCTGCAGCCTAGTGCTAAGCCTGTGTTTCAGTTATACAGCGTGTGTCGCTTCTAGTCTTGGCCACAGCTGCTTCTAGCTGAGTGACTATTGCAGATCTCCTGATGGTGGTAAATGTTAATCACCATAATGGAGTTGCTTGCTGGTATCATGAATTAACTAGCTATGCCTTTTCAATAACAACTCAGTGCAAGTATTCCAAAAAAGATGACCATTTCGCTTTGTGAATCTCCTGCTTTTATAAGTGCCTTTTTTTCCCAAGGTCAGTATAATTATGGATATTTAAGTGCTCTACTATTATTGATAAAATACAAAAATAGATCATTAATTTTTGGTAAGTAATCCACATATTATTTTTGTGTGAATAGTTTATATCTGCATTAGTCCTACATTTTGGCCAAGGATTAAAGGTTTCTTATAAAAAAGACAGTTTTATAATTATAAAAGTAGAAGTTGAAGAACTCTCCAATCTTGATTAGCATCTCAACAGTGGGTTTTGAAATTCTTAATTTTAAATATATAAAATATTAATACTCGCCATTTGGATCAACATTTGGGATTTGGGGTTTTCCAGCTGGAGTCACAATTGTTTTTTTTTTTAGTTTTATGTTCTGTATGACAGAGTGAAGACACTTAGTTAAAAACTTTTTAAACGTTTTTGGCCTATGGGCCAAATCCAGCCCGCTAACCTTTTCTGAGTGGCCTGCAGCTCGCTACAGTTTGAATCTTGAGAGTTACTTTTTGCAACAGATATTGAAACTTTTCCGCCAGTGGCCTCTATTTGTTGGCTTTGCTGCTCTCTCAGCACTAATGGTCAATTGCAGAACCACATCTATTGCACGATGCATTTTACTTTTAGACTTTTACTTTTCAGACGTCTTTTACCAAAAAATCAATTGTATTTTTGTTGCCTACTGTGATTGGCTCAGTCACGCAAATGAAGTCTAGGGTATCCTGTCTTGTTTGAAAGCAGGTAATGATTTCAAACGGTTCTTAAAGTTATAAATGACAACAGGTTAACTGTAAGTTATTCCTGCCATGTCGAAAAAGAGAAAGATCGTAGAAAATTCAACGACAAATGGTCAGAAGAGTACTTTTTGTCCCTTGGAAAGAAAAGGTAATGTGTCTTATCTGTCAAGAAACCATCACCATGATTAAAGAATAGAACATTAAAAAGGCATTATGAGACAAACATCAGGCTACGTTTTCGGAATACACCAGAGATGGACGGAGGGAAAAATTAGAACAGTTGAAAAAGTTGCTTCAGGGACAGCAAAAAAACTGTTCAAGAGAAGAAAATGTTGTGGCTTTATTTAGCAGTGTATGCAAGAGCTCGCAGAGGAGATGTACCCAGAGAAAAGCGACCTATTCCAGTCGGTGGGTTAATCGGATTTCTCTCAGATGGCCCAGCAAGGTTAGTAAAACTTTTTTAGTGGCCCTTGCCCTAAAAAGTTTGCTGACCCCTGATCTAGACCATGCAATATTACTATAGTATGTTGCATTATCAGATCCTGCCTCGGGCATCTTGTTTCCACAGGTCATGATTTTCACCAGGTCTCTCATGACCTGCCACCCCATCATGTCACCAGGATGGATTTCGACAGCTGTCCACTTGATGATAAATGGAACAGGGCATTGAATGACCTCAGCCTTTCTTTTTTCTGATCGTTTACATAATGCAACAGCTACTTTTCCATTAGCAATCCAGTCTCTTAATGTCCTAAGTGTTTATTTTCTCTAATTATTAAGACCTAAATCAGAATATAATTTCTATTCAGAATGCAGTATTTAAAAACATTTACTGTATCTCTTTATTTTAGTGTCTGAGATCCTTGATGTAATTAAATAGTACAAAACGTACTCCAACATTAGCCCTTATCAAAGTTTTATGACATTTAATTATTTAGCTAACAAGCTCCCATAGAAGGTACAGAAAATATTTACTATAAATGTTATTCCTCTTCTGAAAAAGTAAAAAATAGTACAATGAACAGTAACATATTAAATGAGCACCATACTGTATATTGACATATGAAATATAACCTAAGAGTAAACCTACAGAACTAGTTTTTGAGATTCTCCAGTATACAGTAGGTTTGGCAACATTAAACTGTGATCAAAGTACAAAAGCCTAAGAAACACTTTCTCTTATCCTATCTATGGATCTCAATAGAATGATGTAAACTACGTATATTACATATAAAACTTGCAAAACAATTACAAATATATAAAAATGCAAAACTTAATATCAACTTTTGTCAAATGTTTCTCAAAAATCTATTAAGAGCCCTTGCTTCCTGCAGGATGTAATGTCACTGCTTTAGAAAGGATATATAGAATGCTATAATTCCTGGAAAACCAGACACATACTGTACCGTATGTCCTGGAGAAAGCCCAAATACTAGATGCGGCTCTAAAAGAACTGGAGCTTCATGAATATTATCTGAAGACTGAGGCCCAAAAAAAACCCTCTACATTTTACCTCACCTGAATGCTGATCATTGTTAAACATAAAAAGAGAGCCTGGCACTTGTAGCTGTACATCTTGCAGAGTACAGGAAAAAAAAATCTAATACAAATCTGCAAGTGGATCAATTATGTTGACACAGGAGAATAATCAACAATTCTGGAAGAGAGCGTATGCCAATCTGTAGCAGTCTAGAGGGACCACCCAGGACTGTGGTAAACAAACTGGTCTTCAGCTGTGCTTTAGCTGACTACACAGGGACAACTGTTAGCATTAAACACCATATACAATGAGGGTGGAGTTATCCAACACTAATGGTTACCTTTTGTTTTCTATTCACACAATTTAGCATAAACTGTAGCCCATATCAAAGCATGTCTTCTTTACTATACAAAAAGCACCAATATATCCACAGACACTGTAATGGAATTTTCAGATATGAGCTACTGATTCCCTGCTAAAGTATTTAATATTCAACATGTAACATCAAACATTAACCCTCACGTGTAACAAAGATAGTCACAAAAAGACTTAGTATTCATCTGTTCTAAATTGGCTTTCTATTCCATTTGGTTGATCATAAAAGGTAGATCCCAGATTACAATGTAACCATATGTCCTTGTCTATCTTGTGGGTCAAAAGAATTTTCCTTTTCACAATTATTGCGTGCTAGAAACCAGTAAAACACTTCTTTACCTTCAGGCATTCTTTGAGCATTACCAGATTCAGAACAATTTTTATGTGTTCTCCAGGCTGTAAAAACACTAATCCAAATATGAACTAGAAAATCTTATTCACAGAATTGCTGTAAAAAAATCAATACTATAAACTTAGCAATACAGTGTGTGCCTTGTGACTACAGACCCCGGTCTATGAAAGAAAATCAAAGCAAGACAAGACAGAGACTTGCAAAACAATTACAAATATATAAAAATGCTTTGGACAGCTTTTTAGGAAATAGTCTTTCTTACCTAAAATATCAGGCTTAAATGATCCACCCTCTTCTTTTTTCCCCAGCAGGACTTTATTGTCTTTGTCTGAGAAGAAATGAAATCATATAATTAAAACATTATTAAAAGTTACAACATTTGAAACATTTTTTAATCTTGCCCACTCGCACAACTTTGTTCTCTTAAAAAAAGAAATGTATCAACGCAAACATGAATTTAAGAGATGAGATCAATCTTAATATTTGTTTTAAGGTAAAAATGTAAACCTTTTCTTGAATGTTCCTTTGGATGCTTCACAGAGGTCTACAATGAATTATTTTTCATCAAAAACAAAATATGTCCTTAAGGGCTATGTAAGGATACATACTTCTTTTGTGGTCCAAACTCACATATCATTTGAAATTTCAGGTTACTTTTATTCTCTAACACATGATTAATGTTTAGAGCTGTTATACACTATTTAAAATTATTGTATTGCTTTACCCAGATCCAGTTAGGGTCATTGACTCTGTTTGTACTTCTCAATGATTAATCTTGCTATAATACCAAGTTTTTTCTGTCTTAAATAGCCTGAATTTCTGCATTCAAAAGATATATTTTGAAGAAGTGTAAACTTACAAATGTATTTAAAGAAGAACAAAATACTTGCTGGCTCAGTTTATATGTTGTTTTGCAGAAACAATCTTTCAACTATAAATCAATTGTTTGCTCACATCTATATAAGATGACCTCCTCTCATTTCTAGCTTTTTAACTTTTACATCCTTTATGTTAATTACCCTTGTACGTAATTTGTGAGTTATTTCAAACTGTTTCTAAATTTGATATTACTCCTGGATCATGCCTACTGTGAAAGTTACAGCTGACCATGGGGTAATAAATATATATATATATATTCACGTATATACAGTACAGTATTCAGTTTATTTCAAGAAATACCAACATTTAACACTTGCCTTGTACAGTACTTGCCAACCATGTAAATGTAAATATATGTGCTATAACTGCAAAGTGGTTTTTATTTATTAATTAAAATCCAACTGATTACAGAAGTAAGTGATTTGTGGAGAATTAAAGGCTATTTTAATATGCTTTCTATGGCATCAGCTTGTTTTGTATTTACATCACAACTTTCAGCTTATGTAATAAAATACATTACTTTCTATATACCTACTATCCTTTACTTGTTTGTCTCATCATATCAATCATAGTATTTTTCCAGATCTGTCAGAAGAGACCATATAAATGACACACATATACTTGTATAATTGTTAGACTTAAAATGTTTTTAAACTAATGTATCAAGACACCTGAAAAAAATAACTATTAAGAAAACAAAAGTAGTATGGGATAAACCTACAATACGAAAACAGAGAACTAAAAGATGCCTCCATGTGTTCAGAAGGACTTATACATTAGGTTATGCTGTATATAAAAGTGCAGACATACTGTAGAACATTACTGTGTTATATGCCATTCATTCCCATTGCAATGCTACTTTGCACTTTTTGGCTTTTGGCCTAATGCTTCATGGGACCTCTGGTCCTCCAAATAGCTTGTCAAGGTCCAGCTTGCCCATTAGTAAACCCCGGGATGCCAATGTAACTGCCACTCAGGCAAATCCACAAAACAGGTGGCCAAGGTAAATCATGCTGGATAGAGCTAAACGAGATTAATAAAGGAGGTGGAACTGTGTGTAATAAGCTGTACTATAATGCATAACAAATTTGTTTTTAAGTGTTCAGAAATTATCTTTAATGGGTTGAAAGTGAGTACCCTGCCTGAACTATCACTTGATTTTACCACTCACTGTTCATTTTCACAGATAAAAGCCTGTTCCTTCATTAATAAAGACTGTATTTACAGTCTCAAGCATGTACAATCTCTGGTAGACAAAGTGCAAGATCTTGAATAGTTTCTTGGTACAGTATTTCCTTTGCTTTATGCACTTACCTATGTATATGTTCAAACTCAGTGAGGTTGAACTGATTGGAAGTTTGTGATGTAATTCTTGAAGAGACCTTGTCATTACAACATCTAACTTTGGAGCCCGTGCATTAGACTAAATCAAAGAACTTACTGTACATTTATTCTTGCATTTGTTTGTTTTTTCAAAATAAACCCTAAGACGTTTTCACAAGGTCTTCATAGCAGGTTTTATTTTCATCTGATCTACAATGTATGTAGGCTTGATATTTAAATCTGTAGAGACTTTTAAAGATTGTTTATTGATGAGCATATTGCAAATGCATCAATAACATAAGACAAAGGGAAACAGACAGATTTAGCTCCCAGAAGACCCAATTTGTAGTGAAAATGGAACAGTAGCAATTACCAGGACTTTCAGAACTGTGACAGACATTTTAATTAACACAGTCTAACATAAGGCTCATCATGAGAGATCCTTGAAACAAAAAGGAGCAAGGCTGACATTTGAAAATGATGTTTAAATTGTTTCTTTAGCTGAAAGGTCTTTCAGAACAAGCTATCTCTTGGCAAAACTGCTTAATTGCTAAATCATTGATTCAATAAAGCGCTTAAATACACAGTGGAAAAACACCAAAGAAATAAACAAGTAAAACAATGGATAAAATTACTGTATATACACACAAGGCAAGATTGTAGTTCTTCACATTCTGTTGGGAAAATGATCTGCTGCCATCACTCACTAGATAAACTGGAGAAAGATAACTGGTCTGGTGATGGTTAAAAACCAGGAAGCAGAGGCATCTAGGGCCCAGCAACCTCTAGTCTCTGCTCTATAGGAAGAGAGCAGAGCCTTCAATACGAAGAACTGAGCGAGGAAGCGACTGACCAACAGGCCTGTAGACATCTTAGTGTGAGTTTCTGGTTTCACAAGAGGGGTTTTGATGCCAGTAAGCAGCTAAGCTAACCGGCTATTTATAGAGTGGGTGGCTGGAGAAGATCTGTAGTCAGAGCTTAAAGAAGAGCTAAGGTTTTATCTTTTTTTGTTTTTGTTGTTTGGAAATTTTAAACTCCCCGTGTTTATAAAACAGCACAGTTTTAACTTAATGACTATCTCTGTGAGTCTGTTTCCTGAAACCCACCTATTTAAAGATCCCTGTGACTGACCACAGAAGTGTCACAATATTGGCATACATATAATAGGTATTATGTAGGGAACTGTTCTAAAAAACAGTTAGCTAAATAACAGCCCTTTAAATATGACCCTTGCACTAACACAGATTTAAGTCACTTCTACTACAATCTTCAACTTGCACAGACAGAAAGGTACTCTTGTGGAGCTGACTATTATAAACGTGCAAATTAAATTCCTTGTGTTTTCATATTTGCTCTTCTGACTTGCTAACACCAGACAGTGAATCCGACAATCTGTAAACTCTGATCACAGGAATCATCTATAACTATCTCTCCATCACCAAAATATCCTTCCCCAAAGAGAAACAGCAAATGTTACACAGTTTCTAAGAATGAACACATCTGAAAAAATGTCATACATTTTTAAATTTTAACTACATTATTTATTCCCTGCAGAAAACTTCACAACATAAACAGCAGAAGACAGGATGCCAAGGACACCGAGTCATACTTAAGATTGTGTGATCAGAGCCGCTTTTTGACCACTCTCAGTCACATATTTAAGTGTATTTAAAGCGTGAACAGCTGTGCATAATCTGTGCCGGTCACCTCTAGCACGTTGCAGTTTTGGGTCTGTCTGTGCTATGGGAACAATAATCACAGCACCAGCATGTCCTTGTGACAGACATGAATAAATTAACATGCACGTCTTAACAATTCATAAAAATAGTCTTGAAGAGGAAAAAAACATAATGGGACACGGAGCAATTTGCTGACAACGGACAACAATGGGCATGGAAGAGCTGCAGTGCATTCTGTGTGGAGTCTGCAGCATATTCTCCTTCTGGTTGTGAGGGTTTCCTCCCACATTTCCAATGACATCCTGTCTATAGTAATTGGCATATCTAAATTGTGGCATCCAATCTAGGATATACCCTTCCTTGCAGCCACTGTCTGCTGGGTTAGGCTCTGGTTCACTATAACCCTGTATTAGACACAGCAAGTAGTTTTTGCAAATGAATGGATAGAGTTGGAGTTTGCAAAAAAATTACAATGTATTATTGGTCAATGGATGTTTTTGCAATCTGTCAACTGTCTATACAGCTATTGGTTTAGACAGAGTTTACCTGCACTGTAACCATGTAACTGTAATACCAGTTCATGGCTTTAAAAAAAAACAAAAAAGCTCTCCCCTTTCAACAGAACTTGCATGGAGGACTTATTTGACAACATTATTTTATTCCAGTTGCCTTGATGACCAGAGAAACATATATAAGACAAATACTCCACTTGCTTTTTTTATCAGCTGATCAATATGTCATTAGAAAATCTACAATTGAATGGGCCCAAGTGTCAATGGGTTGAAAAGCAGAAAAAGCTCGTTTAAAAGTCATTATCGGACATTCTATGTAATCATGTAATCATTCAGTGACTGTATCCATTCAGGAAAAGTATCAGTCAGAACCAGAAACATCTGTCTGAGGAACAGGGGAAAATCTTCTGGCTAAAGACTAATGAAAAAGTATGACTGGACATGTTTTTGAAGCAAAGCAGGCTGTGTCCAGATTGACAGATTCTTTCATTTAATGGAGCATGATATGAGTCCTAGCTTTGACCGCAGTGACGTTTCTAACATTCCAAAAAGCCAGTGAGTTTTAAAGAAACTGAAGAACAAAAAGTAGAGTAGTAACTCTGCTAAACAAACAAACACAGGCTGAATATATAACTAAAAGAGAATGACAGAATGACATCCATATGAAAATGACAGTTTCCATCCATTTTTAACATTTTTTCTTACTGTTACGTATTTATATGCTCCAATGATGGAAGGCCCCATCCCTCTCGCCCTCAATATTTTATATTTGTTCTATTTCATTTCAGCTCATTTTCCCCATGATATTGTATACATGTGTAAAACTGTCAGTTAGTCTTCAAGAAGTCTAATTTGAAATTTATGGTTTTGTCACTCATGGAAAAGTGTATTAACAGAAGGCACTGAAATATTTCAGTCAAGTTGTTGGCCTATAT